ACCTTTCATCTCTGGGGTGGTTTTGGTTGTCCATACGCAATGCCCCATGAAAGAATAAAGTGTACACACGATCAAGGCCCGTTTTCACACCAAAATCCGTAACTAAATAAAATGCCCACAATTTGATACATTTATTGAAATCGAATCAATGCTTCATCCATGCGTGACAATCAATATTGTGTTACGATCTTTTATGTATCCATGTGAATTCTATTTTTTTTTCTGCTCTTGAAGCAGACGTCTGTTGAAGCATTAAAAAAATATATACGGGATTTCATCAGGGATAATGGCTTTTAGGACTCTGGTAATTCCATGATTATTCTCCTAAATCAGATTAATGGAATTCTCTATTACCTTTCCAAGTGTATACACTTAAAATCAGATACAAGTAAAAAGACATTTGTAGAATGTATTTATTTTCCAACTTTTGTTGTCATACATTCTTTAAAAGATGATCACATTTACTGTTATTTAGTAAATCATTTCTGATTTACCTTTTTAAATGACATAAAGTTCAGTTTGGAGTGATTTTTAAATTGTAGACCAGCTTTCTTGACCTTCGAGAAGTTACGCAATAAATGATCAAAGTTTCACCTTTTTACGTTTTGTCAAAAACGTCTAAAAAAAAATCATTAAATTTCATATTTTTTATAAATGACAGAATGTTCATTTTGGAGTCAATTTAAAGACAAAAGTCTAAGCTTTTCGTTCATTTTTGTGTCATTTTAAACAATTCTATTACCAAAGAAAGATTAAAATCCAATCAAATTTTGTTTAAATGCATTTCTTTATGTAATTATTTATCTATCTGTATTATTGGTGCAATCATTATTGTTATTATTACTGCAGGATAAACAGAATTTCCTTTTTTTTTAATTTATTCTTATATTATAATTAAAATATTTTGTAACATAGAAATTGATGATTTCCCAAAAACGCATTAGCTGAAATTTTATTCGAGGTCGCATAAAATGAAAGTCGCCACCCCGAATGTTCATAGAAAACCTTTCGGAATACAATTCTTTGATTGCCTTTGTTCGCCGGAAAGTTAATTCACGCTGTGCAAAGAAACTTTAAAGTCATTCATCCTCTGGTGCTCCATTACACTGAAATGCAATTAGATCGATGCATAGCGCAAAAGAAAACTTACTTTTTTAACCATCAACTATGCAAAGTGTAAAATAGAATATTTTATGGGTTGAACAAAAGGAAAATAGTTTCGGACAAATAATATTTGAGTACGGTTTTACTGCATGTAATTTTAATAACTGTTATTATTATTATATGTATTCACTCTATGTTAGTGCAGATAATGGGTTTTTGGTCAATTATTGAAGTTTGTGTATCCGGTCGTACCAAATAACATGGTTGTACGCAATCATAACATTACCTGAATGCAGTTGGATTAACAATTTTATGTATTTATATAACTTATAATTAAACTGAAGTAAGCTTATCTTTTTGTATGTGTTTTTCGAGAAATTATGTAGATAATACAGATTTAAAAGTAGAAGAATGTATTGTATCTTATTTCAACTTAATAGCTTTTCGAGACTCGATTCTAAATTGATAAACTTGATGGGTTTAATGAAAACAATCCATTAGTAATGCAACCACCAATTTGCGTGGAACAGGGCGTTGATGGTATGATAAGTGGATCTTATGTATCTGCGGCATTCTGCTGGATTTCCAGTCACGAAATAGGTTTGCGCAGTTTGAGTAATCGCTCAGAAGGGCGACAAACTAAATGAGAGGACGGGCGTGTGTGATAGCGAGCTGGGGGGGTGGAGTCGTTTTGGTTGTGGGATTCGTGCCGACAATGGATGCGATGTATCCAAAGGCAATTGTAAAAATGCTCTTTGTGGCAATGCAACGCATCCAATGGTGGTAATTGATGATGGAAAATAAAGGGCCGTGATTTATGGCAAGGTTTTTGCTCGCCTCGAACTGCATGCATCACATTGAAGATGTAATCTAACAAGTGATCCCTCAGGATGCAAACCAATTTCGTAAAAAATTTCGTTCCACCTTACTGCTTCCGCGAAACACATCTCTATTCGCACTGTCTACCAGTGTTTCTCAACTTCAGATTTCAGCTATAAATTCACAATTAAAACATGTATAATTTTTAATAATCCATAGAGCATAATAACAATATCCACCTGAATTAACTTGGCACTTGGCCGTACTTCTTTTCCAATTTCGTTCCATCCGCGCAAATCATTTCTTGGCCTGCTCCTTAATTGTTTCGGTTTCAATTGAATTGCAGCAAGTGCTTTCAACGCCAACCGTAACTTCTTGTCCAGATTCCGAGAAAGCCGTTTTGATTGAACTTCGTCGTTAAATTCAAGGGTCCATTGTAGTTTCATAACTGAAACATCAAACACTCACGGTACGTTGTAAGGAGTGCACTACTACGCTCGGAACTACAACAACTTACACATCGAGTTTCGCATTCATCGTCGCATTTCAATTATCAATAGCCAAAGATATATTTACAATCAATAGGAAAATATTATAACAAAGAATTTCAAATCTATCAAATTAAGATTGCATATGAAAGCTGGATGTTTGGAGAATGTAGCGAGTATTCTTAAATTGCTGTAGTTCCATCCATTTGGATGTAATTTGCGTTTAAAAAATGAAAAATTAACACTCGAAAAAGCAGTGATTTTCTCAGAAACTATAATAGATTGAATGGATTCAAAAAACGAATATGAAAGCTAGATGTTTGGGAAATGCAGAAAGTATTCATACGTATTCAAGCAATTCGCGTTCAAACGATTTGAATAATAAAAACTTAATGTTCGAAAAAGCAATGTTTTCACATTTGAAAACATGTCTATAACACAGAAAATATGATTACGTATCTGTATGTATTCTTGTTATTGTAAACTTGTTACAATGACAAAGAAACCTCTGTAGTAAATGGGAATCAAAATGAATCGCGTACAATTTATACCAGAGGCCAAATTATCCTTTGAATTGTATAAAGCAAAACTATTGCATGTCAAAGGGAAATTGCACGTCAATAGCTTGGGTTCCGCGTGCATTGCATATAAACAAAGAGCAAAAAAAAAATAATTATACTAGAAATAAGTGGGTTCATAATTAAAACCTAAGCCTCGTCAGTTTGTTTTTGTCCTGTGTGCTCTCCGCTTCCCTTTGATGTCTCTGCTCGCACACAAACGTGAATTATATGTATAAAATGCCAAGATGCGTGCAAACAAAGCAGATAATTTAGTGCCGAAATAAATATCAGTCAGATTGTATAGGATATTCATGTGAAATAAAAGCCACACTTCAGTTGATATAATTTTTATTCATCTTCTTTAATATTTGTTTACTCTTTTTCATTTATTTGAACGCAATAATAAATACAATTGATTCATGTACAGAGAGAGAGAAATGAAATATGACTGATCGAACTGAATCGTTACACAATGGAAGCAATGGCCGGATTGTTGTTACTTGTTTACATGGCAAACTTAAATGTTAACTCTTTGTTTTTCAATTACACCCATTTTCTTAGATATCAATAGCGTTTGCTTGATGATGTACAAATTTCAATTTTACATTTACATATACAAAAAAATTTAATTTCACCTTAAAAATTATGTTTTCTTTAGAATTTCCTTTTACATATCCTAAAATTATACAAGCACTTGGGTAAAAATACTAAAATGGATCTGTTATATAATTTCGTGTGTGTGTGTGTCGACGAAGTTAAACGATAATGTGGATGGATGTAGTCGCGATGGGATGGGGAAAATGTAGGAATTACTAACGTTCCGGTAAACATCTAATCGTAAGTGCAAAAATACTGGAAAGAGAATTATCATATTATCATTACTAGGAACAGCAATATTACTTCTTTTTAATTGAATTTTCAACCTACGTTTTACCCATAAACGTAAATTCTGGAATACCTAAGCAACTTTTCAATCATAAACACAATCTACAATTATCTAATTCCCTATCATCGACGCAGTTTCCCCACACGCTTAACTATGATTATTTCCTTCTTCATCTCATCAATGGTGATTGTTGTTGTAGTAGTAGTATAAATGAATATACCTTCAACTCGTTGGATTTCATATTTTCTTTTTATTTATCATTCTTCTTCCAAAAAAAAATCGTTTTAAAAAATAATCTTTTCTCACGTTCTCGTTACTCCTGTATAAATATAAAATATCTAGAAAACACCCACTTTAATATATATATATATAGTTAGAATATACAAATTGCTAATAAAATTAAGTGCACTTAATTTTATTAGGAATTTCGCTAGCGTATATTGACGTACCTCGTCACCATAAGCTTTTCGCATTTCAGTTGCATTCGTCATGTCCCAACAAACAAATATAATAACAAACTATATATAAGATATATTCATATAACCATGCAACTAATCAGTAGCATAAACATCTGCCTTCCTTCAGTTAAGCCCTGCATCGTAATTAACATTATGCTATCAATTTAAAACATTACTAACCCTTCTAACTGAAACAAACGATTCAAAAACAATGATTATCTAAACGATTATCGCTTATAGAAATAACATATGTTTAAATATATATTAAAGCTACATTATTGAGTCTATTGAAAACAAAAATATATCAACAAATTCAAGTACTAAACTAATCCAAAACCAGAAAATACCGTATTTCATTATTACATTATTAATAAGAAAATACGACGAAATGCTGAAAATAAATTTGATCCATAAATGCAAATCTCGTATAAATTTGTAATTTTATTTTACTTTAGATAAATATAATCTTAATTGATTAAATAATTTCATTACCAAAATAACTTAACTCAATGGTAATCATAGAAGGAACATATTTACGCTACTGCACCTCAACTGCATTTAAACTAAGTTACAATACACATTTTGATTTATAATATATGGTATATATATTTTTTGTTTTTGTTTCTTTCGATTAGAAGTTATTGAAATGATTGGAAATTTCAACAGCTGAATTAAAATGCTAGGAGATAGTTAAATAATAAATATATTTGTAAATTAAAAAAAAAATCTAATAACAAAGAAGATTATGTTGATAGGTGAGAAGAAGAAAAAGAAGTAGTAAGTAATTTCTTTATAGAAAGTGTAAATTAAAATAATAGATTGTTGTTGTTTTGTTTTTTTTTTCTAACCTGCATGACGAACTTGATTCTCGCAACGAACCTAAATGTACTATGATTTTTTTTTTATCATTTTCTTGTGTATATAATAGAATTATAATATGTAAAGTACATTTAATAGTAATTACTAATGTCCGGCCGCTGGCCGCAATTCCTTAATCTGCCTTATAAGATACGCCTTCTCGTCATTGAATTGTTCATCCTCGGCCCTATCCGTGTGGAATTTCATTAGGAAATCAACCAGCTTATCTTGATTACGCAACAGGATGTCTAATATTGGCTTTGGCTTGTTCGGGTTGGCAACAAACACCTGAAATTAATAAATTATTTCGAGCTTTAATCCCGTTCTTCCGCATGCACACCGCATTTATCTGAATACTGGAACGTGAACTTTTGTCACGGATTTTAAACCTCGTGGAAGCCAAATTAATCTACAATGTACATTTTCTACTACACTTAATTGAATCAACGCGTACGTACCAACGTAGTTTACGCTCAGTTAATAAACATTTATAACCGTACTAACGTACAAATATCCGTACAAGCGTACACTAATACATGTTAGATCTATACTTAAAGTTAAATATATAATTTCTTTAAATCTTCAATATTATAAAATATTTGAAAAGCTAAACCGGACTATAATGAATCCGGACTGATGAAAACCGTTATATACGACAAAAAAAAATGTAATTATATCCCGACATAAACAAAATTTATATGAAACGCAAATCCTCATGTTCGATACAGTTCATTCGTTCTACATTAATGAAAATGTTACATGACGAACGGCAGTAATACGAAAATACTATATAAAAAAACAATGATCACGTACTTTCCAACTAATCGATTCGATTCCAAGGAAATCAGAACAATTTAATTTTAATTGAATTCTTGTCGATATAAACTAAATCGAACGATACAATACCAGAAATACTGATTTCGTTCTATTTTAAAATTTAGATGTATTTGAAAAATATAATCGTTCGTCATGATCGTTATTAATTATTTTATATAACAAACCAAAATTTACTGTACAGCATACATAAAAGATGATGCTATTGATAATTCTCTATTGTAGGAAATCCAGCCAACAATTGCAAATTATAAAGAGTAGTTAGCGATTTATATTTAGCCGGATTCGAATACAATGAAGAGAAAAAAGGAATAATGATATGAACTGAAAACGTGTTCATTACATAAGACAGCGATGTTCGGATAATCGACGGAACAATTTCCATTTGCGGAATCGATACTCACCTTGAAAACGTGGAAAGCTTCAAACTGAATATTCCTAGACCTCTCTTTCAGCATGTTCATCATTAATTTAAGATTTTCTGGATTGGATATATATCTAGTCATTACCTATAACATCAATAATAATAATAATCAAAAAATATTCTACATAAAGTAACATGAACAAAATGAGATTGTTAATTTTCATTTAATGTATTGATTTCTGAGAATATATATAACGTAATTTGTATTTATTTTTAACCGTTGTCTTTATGTATTAATTACTTTCCTGATAACGCTAATAATAAATATTGTTGATATGAAACTGAATCTCATCATAAAGGTTATATGAAACTTAATGACTAGTAAATACTGAAATACTGTTCTGTCCATCTAATCTTATCTCTTATTAAAATATTTACTGTATTATTATTATAGAGAAATAATTGCACAACAGAATTTTCAGAATTATACAATATGTATAGATTAAAAAAACTCACCGTGAAATTATGTCTATCCAATAAAAGTTCACCAAGCAACTTCAAACTTTGTCTACGGGTCACATAATTGTCTGAATTCAACAAACGCTGGTAATGCGTGAATACTTTGTCATAATTCTGCTCTAGAAATTCAGCGCAGAGCATCTTATGTCTAGTTAACAATTCCTGCAAAAAAAAAACAAATTATAATATATGTGTGAATTGGTGCTCGCATATATGATGTGTTAATATGTACAAACAAAATGAAATTACCTTGAATGTGGAAAAAGCATCTGAGGCAATATCGAAAGTGGATACTTCAACATAGGTAAAGAAATTATAAAAGTCATCTGAATGAAGCATTATCTTCGCAAGTGCCTCATACCTTGCACACTCCCTCAGCATGGTTCCACAATTTAAAGCTATCTCTTGCAACTCATAACTGCAATGTCATCAAATAATAAATAAATAGATGCAACTAAAGAATAAATCACAAGTGTACCCTGTCATAAGTGTGAACAATATCTCTGGTTTTGTACAAATATACTCAACAGTTGGGCAGCGTGTTCCAATTTGCCTTCGTAGTATGTTATTAAACACTTGAGCTACATCTTTTTTGCCCTCAAAATCGATGCGGTTCAAGTTCTGGATCAGCAGCAGCAGCAGGTTGCTATTGTATAGCTCTTGAGCAAGTTGTGCAACGATTATATCAGTCTGTGGTTCAGCGTCTGAGGTCCCATACAGCATGTTCTTGATCAAGACCAAATTTTTGCTCACATCCTCCTGTGCCTTCTCTGCCTTCTTGTCACCCTTCTCTAACGAATTCACGGACTCCTTCAACGCCTTCACCACATCGGCGGGGCTCTTCTGTGATTTTCCAAACAGTGGCATTATACAATCTTCTTGAAAACGTTAGTTAACACAAGATTATATATATATATATGTATATATTTATTATTATTCAACAATTGATGTCAAAAGTGACACACTGAACGAACAAACAGCTGCGACGGTCCTCGATACTCCAATTAACCTCTGAAATACAACTGGCGACGGCTGCGGTTACAGGTTATTTATTCCAATTTACCCTAACATATCACAATCTACAAACTCTTCTAGCTTTTCTCAAACAGTACTACAAAATATATCTGCCATTGATCATTTGACAGCAATGTGTGACTGATATGTCATAAAACAGTAGTACCAACGTTAAAGTACAGGACGTAACCAGATACAAGAACACCAAATCTCACTAGACTTTTCTTAACATACATACACGTACGCCATCTACAATTAATTCAATGTAATTATTACTAACGGCTAACAAAAAATATGTAAAGATTAAATTTAAAAACAACAGTAAAACTATAATTAGTAAATAAAGAATTATTAATGAGTGAATAAATTTTTGTTTTAATTAGTTAATGAACCCTCGGAAGGGTTTCCAAAAATTGCCTTTGCGGACGGTTTTTCACGTCCACATGGCGGGGTATTGGTTAAAGTTTTCAACTAGCAATAATCGCACCTCGGATAGACCTCATTGGTTACGATATCGCCACTGCGCAAAGCTAAATTTCGATCGTCTCGTGTTCACATATGAAGCGAACGAAATGCAACAATAATTCTGAGGACCTTGCGACAACGCCATCTAACTTCTAAAAACATCATCCAATCACTTTAAGTATATAAACTTAACTTTAATAATGCAATCAATAATCATTATTGTTAATATATAATATCCATAAAATTTAAATACTGCTAACATAGTGGGCTAATGTATACATTATTCATTAAAATGTACATCGTAACTTCACTGCTTTGGAGAATGTGAAATTTATTATGGGAAATGAATAAGTATGTGCTTAGAACTTATGTAAATAAATAACTATTATGTTTTGTAAATGACATATTATAAAAATACTGTCTTCCTCAAAGATGTTATAAATCATACTATAAATTCATACATTATAATACCTCATTTATGGCTGTGTACACACATTCTCCGACCAATTACGTTCAAAGTTAGTTCAATGTACTTTTTGCTAAATTCCAGTTTGGTCTATGTGTACTGAATGTACATTTACCAAATAGAGTGACAACAGTATACATTTACCGGAAATCATTATCCCGAATATGCACTTATACCGTAACATTTATAATATAGACCAAGGATGGCCTGACTTTTTGCAGCAAGTGGTGATTCTGGTATAATAATTTAAAAAAAAAAAACTCAGTCATAATATAAAATATATATAATATTTGTTTTTTGACTCTTGAAGAGCCGCATGCGGCTCACGTGCAACAGTTTGGTCACCCCTATATATATATAGAGAGAAAAAACGCCTTTTTGCAACTGTTACAAAAGTGTTTCCTCCCAATTTTGTATTATAATTATGTATGTATACATTTACAATATACATAGACAAAAGATAAATAAAAAACAAAACGAATTTAATGTAGAAGACGTATGATCAATAGTCCTTTGTAACAATTGATCATGTCATTATGTTTATATTGTTTTTACTTAACTCTTATACAACTGTAAGTATAACAATTGATTCTATTTAAATTAAATATTTATTTATTTACAAGTTTAGGTATTTGGATCACAAAATTTAGTTCATGTTCGGACACTTTTTTTAAATTCATTATTAAAACTGGTATTAAAGAGTTATGACGATTTCTTCATTCAACGGTCAGATGAATGATATAATTTTTCTTGATTGCTTTTTGCGTTATAAAACTACAGAGTATTTTTATTTTTAATGTTGGCAGTCTTAGCTGTAACGCGGTTTCGATGTAACAGAATGTAAGTGAACGTATAGCGTGGTATAGTGATCATATTATGTTGATAGTGTGAGTGCGAAGAATTTCCCCCGACTTCCTACTGGTTCCTACCCGTACGTTTCGCTGTGCAATTGGATAAGAGATAGTAGCAGCAGTTGTGGTAGTAGTACCTAGTTCTGTGCCTGGATAACGAAGTGTTTCGAACTCCAAAAGAAAGAACGTCCGTGTGTCCGTTTTATTATTATTATTATTTTTTTTTCAAATTTATTTTTTCCTTTCCCCTGACATACACGAACCCCAACCAAGTTTATTCCCAGACCCGTTGACAGACTTACATTAACTTTGATATTTACCTGTCTTTCCCTATCCATATTTATATGCTGTCTGCGATCATCGCGGTCGCAAATTTTCAAACAGTTCTCATCGAAACTGCCAGTGAAACGATGGATCAGTGAATCGGAAGAATGTCTTCTACGAGAATTCTGCTCGACTGAATGTATTCTTGAATGATTTGCATGTAAGTTCTAGAAATAGGTTATGTCATCATGTACTTTTAGAGCAATTTTCCGTGTCTCTCCTCCTCTTCCCTGCCTTTCAACTATTACATTTTACTCATCTGCAGCAACACTGAGGTCACCAGATCTCACATACAGATATTACAATTATTTTATTTATTTGTTTGTACAATTGTTATTAACACCTCAGATATTGTTACTTTTCTACTCTTTATATATATATATACATACATAAAAAAAGAGTAAACTTGGAATATCATCATTCTTATCAGAATCTTTTATTAACATTTCTATACCATTTTTATCAAGTGACCTAAAAATAATTTTGTTTCAAGTAAATAGTTGTTACCACATTTCTTTATTAATCATATATTCAAATATATTAAGCAAAAGTCGCCAATATTTTTCATATTTATTCTAAATATTGTTTTTTTCCTTCTTATTTATAACATTACAAATTAATTGACTTTATTTTCTGCCTCTTAATTTGTATGTAATTATATAACAATATTTTAATTGAACTTTGGCAATAATAATTGAAATTATATGAATTTTTTGTGTGACTTTTGCAATGAACGTTATTAATATTGTTTATAAGATATTTCATATAGCAGAATGTCCTTTGTGCTTAATGGTCAGTAATAAGTAAGCTAATGCTACTTAAAATGTGAGTGAGAATAAGTACTCAATAGTTTTGGAGATTAGTTTCAATTAGTATTAGTCCAAGTACTCCAAATTTATACACAATTCTATAGAGATAAATGTATTGAATTGATTTTAATTATGTATTATTAACTATAATATATACAAATATTCTATGCCAATGATACTTCAGATAATTTCGTGGTAATTCGTGTTTTATAATAATCAGTACAATCAAATTCTAGTTCTTCCTTTTCTTGTTTGTTTTTGAGCTTAAATTGCGCCAAAATTACAATTATTATTAATTTAATTACATTCGTTTACACACATAATGTTCATTATATTTATTGGTCTTAACTACAAATATCTTTTTGATGAATAAATATATATGTGCAGAGGGCTATTGACCTGTATTTCTATTTTTTTTAACGTTCTATTCAACATATCTTTACGGGTGATTTCTAATGTTCGAAGTAAATTTAAAATGTAAACATAGTGTGTATACTACAATTCTATTTATTTATGGAATTATATGTAACATGCGAGATATAGATGTATTTCGGTGGTGCTCTTAATTATAAACGAACATTATGAGCATATTTTATCTACAATTTGTTATCTGTTATTTATTTTTATTTCATTTTCAACAGTTTAACTGATTGAAACTTTGTCATATTTCCTTTAGAGCTTGTTGAAAATATTGCAAATTAAAATATATCTACACATTTAGTTGTAAATGTTATATTAACGTATAATTTATTTTTTTCAGAATTTTGTATAGCAATATCAATGGTTTCTGGAAATGGTGTGTAAAGAGGATGTTTTATTATGGTTTAAAGACTTGGAAGGCTATAAGCGAATAGATGTGATGACGGAGTTATTGAATATGTGCGTCCCATTCGAGGTGCGATACCTAGGTAGTTGCATCGAGGAGATCGGGAAGCACAGCTACCACGAGCTCCGTGGACCCAGCATCGTTGCTAACGATGCGGACCGCCTCTCCAAAGATTCGTCTCTCCACACGGGTCTGCTGGACGACAGCACCCGACATCGAGCTGTGATTTACATGTCCGTGCTTTCTGCCAGGAACTGCACGTGTGCGAATTGGTTTTACAGGACACTATTGCGAACTCTGTGTGTCGAGACTGATGTGTATTTTAAAGATGACAACGCGCTCAGTGAACTGTTACTATTATTTACTATGGCTTTACACCATCCTGCCTTCACGTACGAACAGAAAACCCACTGTGGCAATGTGCTCGTTAAACTCATCGACATCCATAGCGAGAGGAGTAAAATGATCAACAATAATGCACTGATTGGTAGCGGTCATCCTTGCTTTCAACACGGTTACTTGCAGACAAGTCGAAATCCGAATATGGTCAGTATACGTTTTCGAAAAAAAAAAAATATTACATACACTCTACACATACATATTTACCCAATCCCTTAAAACCGTATTTCTACTCGCAGTAGATACATTCATTTGCAACAACATGTAACGCAATAACTTTACCATTTCATAGTGTGCAATACTTTGGAAATGATTGTATCGTCATTCTCGTCTCAAAATTCTAACAATTTTATCATCCGTTTCATAATCGTATAACTTTCTGTGTTATACTTTCTACCAAGTTCATATATTAATTGCTTTCAATAATAATACTTAGCATCAATTTTAAAACGATCTATATAACAATTTACTTCAAATACACTAAACTGGAAAAAAGTTTTTTTTTTTAATAATTTTACTTTATACTGCTGAACAGCGTTAATCAAAGTAATTTATGTTTAAAGTGTGTGACAATGGAAACACCTATTATACCTGTGAAAACATCATCAGTAATGCCGTCAGGAGAGAATACAATACCGATCCAGCATCCACCTCCGGGTTTTCCGCCACCACATGCAATGCAACAACAACATCCGCATTTGGATTTTATGTCCAAGACAATTTTAGCTCGACCGGGATTTACGGCGACTGTAGTTAGAGCACCAGATGTAAGTCAACATGTGAATTGCTGCGATTTACGGAGGTATAAATGTGTACATTTTGATCAGATGCATCCATTTCCAACGGCGACGACGGCAGTCACTACTCTTGAGAATCAAGCAGGTTCGCCACCTCACAGTAGAACGACTTCTCCGCCACCACGAACGTTTATGCGACCACTTTCTACCGTTGTAACCGGCATGTCTCCTCTTAATCCTACAAATGCGCTGCTAGAAGAATTGCAGAATACTACTCCTCCTGTTCATCTCGATCCTGTTCCTAGCATACCGTACAACCCGTTATCAGACATTATGAAAAACACAGACGAAGAAGTAATATGCTTATATTACTAATATTTAGGCAACTATAATAATTAATGTTTTGTTTGCGTTCTGTTTGCAGTTAAACAATATGCTAATAGATGATAAAATTAGGGAATCTCATTGGCTGCCGCTCGAACATTTCAAGAAGACGAACATGAACGGTATGAGGAATAATACCTACGTACTCGAGTCACTTATAGAACATCAGGTGCATCAGTTAAAGTTGGAAGGTGATAATTCGTTGCATTGTTCGAATCCGACGTCCGGCAACAGCAGTAGTAATCATTCTCCTACCGAGACTCCTTCAGTGACACCAGCAGTGACGCCCCACGGTCCAGGCCGAGGAGGATCAATTCCCGGTGGAGGCGATTCAAAATGTCGTCTGAACGGAATACCCCCGCCCTATATTTATGATCTTAATACAACACCGATGCCTACATTTAGTAACTGCTCTGTGCCTTACACAATCGCTCCCGTACCTCACAGTAGGTACTACACATACGGACCGCATTACACAACACCATACCCATATCAACAAAATGCAGAACTGTATCCATACCTCGTGTATCCGCATGGTATGAATCCACAGCCACCGCCGCCTCCGCAACCACCAAGAATCCTAAATTGCTACAACTGTGGAGCAATGGGTCACTTGGGTATAGATTGTAACGGTCAAACCGTCGAAGATATCACTCAAAAACCGTATATGCTTGAATTTGATTCATTGAAAACGCAAGATAGCTCTGACAAATAATTATTATTTACAACAAAAACTATTGAAAAAATATTGAGTATCTATGATGAATCAATTGCTCGAAGAGTATATATAATATAAATATATATCACGACGCAAAATAAAAATGTTATAAACATATATTGTAATATAGGTTAAATTCTGTAATATTTGTATAAACAAAAAGAGAGATGAGACATAATAATAATTACAATTCTCGTACAAAGTACTTGCTGAGAATACAATTTTAAAAACGCCTCAGCTCTTGTGGAAAGAACAAAAAACATAGCTGTTATATTAATTACAATTTGTTGTTACATGCGGAAACAATGACCTAACGACGCTCGGTATTCTCGTTTCTGGGTAATTTTTATATTAATCATAATAAATAATTTATTTGTTGTTTTTTTTTAAAAAAAAAAGAATGATTTATATTATTTATTTTTTATACAAAAAAAAAATTATATATATAAATGATATAAATATTTTATCGGAATGTATATTTGGAAACTGTATAACAATCCATTTTACACCAACGAATCGAAAAGTTATAAACTAAAATGATATATATTGAAAAGAAATGACAAAATCACTGAATCGCCATCCTTTAATACAAACAAATATTTCTCATTGGATTTGTTGCAAGTGCAGTAATTGTGATCTGGTGTAAATATGTTGATTTTTTTTTAGCAATAACTTTATGTTTTAGTATACATAATATCACATTTTTTTTTGTAAAAAAAAAATGTTTCTTGTTATTTCTAATTTTGTTTTTATATGTATATTGTTTTTGACTATTTGACTCTAGTCAATAATGTAAGTGCACGACATGATGGACTTATAATTATATGTATTATTTAGTAGCGTTGTGTTTTCTTTTCTGTTTTTTTTCTTTTGTAACTTAATTCTAACTTTTATTTGTGCTTTGTTGAATAATTTATAGGTCCTGTATTTTTTATTATAATTATATTTAATGGTACTTACTTTAAGTCACATTCATATTGTTTTTTTTTAATACATCAAATTTACACGATGAAATAATTGAAATTCTATTGGACTGCCGCCGCCGTATCACATTTGTTTTGATCCGCTTCATCTTTATCTGAAGAAATATAATCCGAATCACTTTTGTTTCGATATATTCATTTTTTAGTTTTATTTCATAGTTTATTCATAATTAAATAATTATATATTTATAACAGTCAGTATCTGATTGAATTTTTAATTAAAAATAAATTTTGAGATTTTCTAACATTTATTTATTTTTTTTTCAACAGCTTTTTTGTATATCCATGTGTGCTTAAAGACAAAATCGAATCGCACCCATTTTGTCTTTAAGGACTTCATTTTTTTTTAATTTGAAGTACAAAACGTATACGTGTTTGTATATATGTATAAACAAAAATAATATACAAGACGTTTAAAATATATATATTCTTGGATTATAAATGTTTATTTACTTTCTAACTTTCGAATTTTAGCTTCCCAATTAGATAAAACTTTACACCATTGTGTATACAATATTATTATACGAGTTACACTCAATTTTTACAAGAACAAAGTTCTTAAGATATGGCTATGGTCGCCTGTATCACGAAAATCTGGTACGACGTTGGTTCGATTCCCAAAACACTAACAAAAATTTGTGGTGGCTGTTAAAACCGAAAGGGGTAGGAATAGGGCCGGAAGAGATTATTATAAAAGTTCTTAAGATGGCTCAAGTTACTAATTAGTATTAGCACCTTGAAAAACAGCATTTCGCTTAACAACCAAATGAATTGTAAGAAAAATTACTCGCTTAACGAGCGACGTTTCGCATAACGAATAACTATGAGAAGTCCCAGCGCCTTTAACATCATTTTTTTTTAATGTTCGTTAAGCGAGGTTCCACTGTATATAATATAAAACAGAATAGTTCAATATATAGTTTTATTTATTAAAGATAACTAAAGTTTTAAAAAAAGTACAAATATTAAGTAAATATTAATTCGAGTTAAATGTTTAAAAGAACAAAAACGAAATCAACATTAAACTCGTTTTATAACAAAAAGCAAGTACATTTGTTAAATATTAAAATAAATATTTATTTCCAATCATTTCAATATGTAAAAAATATAAAAAAAATACTCTTATTCATAAAGATATCAATATTTAGTTAAGTGTATTTTTGCGGTGTCCCAACCGGACTCTCCTGTCTCAATCTTTCGACGTCATTGAATATCACTTGGGCTCCACCGCCACACGTAGGTAGAATATCAGCCTTGTACACCTTCGTTTCGACTTCACCGTCGGTGTCTGCCTCTTGCGCAATTAAACAGTACTTGGATTGCTTAGGATGCGTAATGTCACTTGCTTTACTCAGTTTTGAAACGGACTTCCTCTTGTTCATACTTGGCTGCATAACTGTACCCAAAGGTACTGGTTTCACAGAGTTGTGCTCCAGCCAAACCTCACCAACAGATTTCGATCGCCTTCTATTTGCAACAGCCACATGTCTGCTGCGATGAGGAACTGGTGGCTTATTATTGGAAACTTCAGAAACCACCGATTTCGTTGGAGTTGCAGCGACCACTACTGCGTGTTCTTCGTCCAGTAAATCGCGAACCCGCTTCAGCTTATCTTCTTTTGCCCTCATTGCCGCATTCAAATGATCTCGTTGTCTCCTCAGTTTGTCGTCCAATTCCTGATTCATTTTCTCCTGCTTCAATGCCATCTTCTGTTTTTGCTTTTCCCTTTCCATCAGATTCTGATTAAGTTTCAAATCTTTCTCGTCCAAGTTGCATCTCAAGTTCCTGATGCTATCTACGAGCTGGACGTTCTTGGAATCCAAAGAATCGTTCATTTTCTCTAATTCGAGCACCTTAACTTCCAGATTCTGGCTCTTTTTCTTTTCCTTCTTATACTGTTGCTGAGCACTCTTCAATTCGCTAATCTTCAACGTGTACTCGGAATTCATTTCGGCCAGTCTCTTTCTGAACGCTCTATCTTTTGCGTTAATTTCTCTATTCAAAAGCAGACTTTTTTGCTTCCTCGTCTGTATTATCTTAACCAAATTCCTAATACCGCCAATAGAATCATCAATATTTTCAAAATTTAATTTCAGCAATGGTATTTTTGGTCCAAAAACTAAAGGCGCTGTTGCCTTGATTTTAGTAATTGGAGTTTCGACGGTAGGCTTCGATTTGGATGCTTTGGTCTTGTAAGGTGTAAATCGTGATTCGGGTCTAACAACTTTCACGTCACTGGCAATATCTGCAAATTTCATAACTTGCAAATTCTCTTCATAATCTAGAACAGATGGACTGGCACAAACAATCATTTCCACTCTGCCTTCACCCTCAAAATAATTCTTGAATATATGTGTCAAACGACTTTCCCTGTATGGAACTAATCTACTTCCATTATTAATTTGATTTTCTCTTAGAATCTCCATACAGTTCCTTAAAGACATCAACGAATTATTGATGGAACTTGCCTCTTTTAATCTCATGCCAGTGTTTTGAGTTCTGTTGCTTCTCTCTGATCCAGCTAAATCAACTAAACTCAACTGGCCAACTTTTAAAAGATTTTGAGCAGGAATAACTCTTTCTCCGTTACTATTCAATACATATTGTTCCAATTGCACAACTCTTATATTGAAAATCGAATGACTTCTACTAGATTCGGCGTTCAACAATGTGTGACCCATACGTTTTCTTTTCTGGCCAGCATTGAATAATTCAAATGCCTCGGCAGCACATTTCACTTCTTGCTCCACAACACCATTTACATACATATTCTTCTGTGAATCTTCCCGCAGTATCTTGCTTTGTAAGACTTTACCTCCACTTTCATCCAACAAATCATATACAGTATTATTGTAAATTTCTATATAAGAAATAAATACTGAGTATAAGTTTCTTTCGTTTATACCCAAAATGCTGGTGCCATCATTTGTATAAAGAACTTTATCACCACTACCTTTCTTCCTCAACGATTTTGTAGATCTGTTTTCATGTAAACAATCATCTCTTGCATCTGCTTCACTCTGCACCTCAAATCCATTCATTTTATCGGATTTAATTATATACTTTTGTGCCTGATGCTCTGCAATCGAATTGAACAACGTATCAATGCACCTGGGCATAATACCAGGATTGTAAGGGTCTCCAGTTAATGTGTACGTTTTTCCTGATCCAGTAACTCCATATGTAAACAGTAAACCATTTTTACCTCTCAGAAGATCCTCCAACAACGGATAAGCAATATGATCGAATACTTCTTTTTGTGAAGCGTAAGAGGTGAATATATGTTTGAATGCATAATGTGTATCTTTCCTGAGAACTCTGGACTCACTTGGGCAGATTAACGAGAGGACCGTTGGGGACATCAACTTGATGCAAGATGCTTCATTTTCATCTCTTAAATTTCGCAGGCGACAGAAAACGCTTACTGGATCTTTCACTTTTTCTGAATCAGAACTCGACGATAAATTCGTCTTCTCACGTCTCGGCGTTTTCGGCGTAAACTTTCCGCCAAAATTCATCGTTGCAAAACTTTACTTGAATGCTTGAATGCTTCACTAACGAACTTTTTCAAATGTCGGTAAACAGTAACAGGAGTGACAATCACAGTTGGTCGATAAAGTAGGAAACATGAATGGGCGGTAAGTTTAAAATAAAAACATTTGTTTCTTAACTACTCTTTTATTTTCCTCTTTGCAGATGAATATAATTATATGAAAACCATATTTCCATCATTTTTTATAAAGAATAGATTACACAAAATAAATTATAAATATTTAGGTTGGCAGTTTATAAATATATTTAGCTTTGTAGAAGTATGACAACATATTGAACATATGACAAATACAACCTTGATTTAATAATTAATTTTGATCTGACTCATAACAACATAGTTCTTTACCAGTTTTAACAATATTTTATAATTATTTGCATGTATTTCAAGTGATTCCAAGTGCATAAAAATGTTTTCCAGTAGCCCAAATTATACAAAACTTAAAACACATTTGCGTTTAGCAATTAATAGACTAAAACTATTGGAGAAGAAGAAAGCTGAATTAGCACAGAAGTCAAGGAAGGAAATTTCCGATTTCATTGTAGGTGGAAAGGCTGAGAGGGCTAAGATCAGAGTAGAACACATTATAAGGTAAATTGTTTATCATATAAACATAATATGATAATTAATATTAAACTTTTAGAGAAGATTATTTGGTAGAAGCAATGGAAATAGTGGAGATGTATTGTGATTTGTTATTGGCAAGATTTGGCTTGATCACTCAAATGAAAGAACTAGATGAAGGTCTATCTGAGGCTATTGCTAGCTTAATTTGGGTTGCACCTAGATTACAGGCCGACATCCAGGAATTAAAAATTATTTCTGATCTGTTGACTGCAAAATATGGCAAGCCGTATGCTGATTCGTGCAGAAACGACTCTGAATCAGTGAGCATAAAATTAAAGCATAAATTGTCCATACAGAGCCCACCAAAGAAATTGGTTGAGAAATATTTGATTGAGATAGCGAGCTGCTTCAATGTTGAATATGAGCCAGATCCACAGATTATGCATGAAGAAAATGATTCCTTCTTGATTGATTTGGGCAATGATAGAAATAATTTAGGTGGTGGTGGTGGAGGAGTAATGCCAATTGGATTTATTGGTTACCCACAGGCACCAACACTTCCTCCTTCTATTCCTTTTAACTATCCAGTAATGCTATTTCAGTACATTGTACATTGATAATTAGTAATCTATATTTATTTATTTTAGCCATCAATGGAAGATAATGCATCTGCTCCACCACCTCAAAATATTCCATTTGGGGCACCGTTCTCTTACAATATTCGACATGCACCAGATAAAGAATCCAATACTGATTTCGTAAGTACCAGCTTGAAATTTTGTATGACATTTGTATGTGATAAATTCTTGTTTATAGAATTTGCCATCTGATATGCTTTCTCCTGATGATAATCTCGAGGTTGGTGACCGTGCCCAATGTTATAGCACTTGTAAATTTCAAATATTTTCTTTCCAGAACAACATTAATAAACCGACGCCGCAGCCTAGATCTAAAATGCCGAGTACTAACTCGTATCCGGAATTACCGGAGTTACCGTCTGTGCCATTGGATAATCCCAGCACTAGTACAGATATAGATTTCGACGATTTAACAAAAAGATTCGAAGCTTTGAAGAAAAAGAAATAAACGAGATTCAATGATTTGCCTTTAATATGCGTATATCTGAATGCTTCTTTCACTATTTACTATTTTTACACTTACCACTGTTGATTACTATTTATAATTGAAAGCTTGAACAAAAATATAAATAAATATATATATTATATTATACCACTAATGAAAAGATCACAGTTTACTTATACGAAAAAAAGACGACACTTTGTGTCAGAATAGACAAATAGTCATACATATACAAAATATATCTTCGAAATCAAATCATATACACTTGATTTTACACCTTTTAGAACAAAACACAAAAACAATGAAAAACAAGTCTTACAAGTACAGGCCATATAAAGAAATAACAACAACGGAAACCCCGTACCTGAACATATACACGGGACAGCGAATCTTCATCGACCCGGAAGTCGTACCACCGAAGAATTTGTTCTACGTGGAAGACCTGAATCCTTATCAGCGTACCATCTCCATAGTGATGGACTCTAGGAACAGGAAAATAATACAGAGGAACCGGGAAAATGTGGCCAGCAACATTTACCACCTTATTCAAGCTCGGTTAGATTACGAGAACCGCCGGCAACATTTCAACTATACAACCTACAATTATCCTATTTGGTTTGACGATTTGGTGGAGATTATGTACTTTGGTAATCTTGAGTAAATAATTTAAATATTTTATATGTCTTTGTTATTCTACAATTTAATACCGAAATATCATAACATACACACGACAATAAATTAACTAACTGCATGGACAGACAACAATATGGTTTAGTACATATTTTGCAACTTTGAGGTAACATTAGTAGAAGGAAAAGTAAAAGTTATAATAAACAATGTTTTTTTTTATTACCTAAAATATTTCATATATTTCCTGATTTTTTTATATTTTTTTTTACAATGTATTAATGAAATGCAGAGACTTTAATATAAATTCTCGTAATTTGCATTCGTCAATATGTTTTCACTTTAATATTATATAACATGTAATTTACATGGTTCAATAAAAAAATATACAAAGATTATCGTGTAATAAATTATATATATATAAAAAATAATAGATGGATTCACTGATGCGACATTTTGAAACAATAACAAATAAATGTCGCAAAAGATTTATCAAGTATGAAATGCATCTTCATATTGTGTAAAGAAAAAATGTACAGTTTCTATTAGGAACAAAATATGAAAACTAGACTAAACCTCATTTAAAAGTGTATCTGATCAGTTAAACTTAAAATCGTAGCCAGCACGCAACGATGAGAAATATTTCGCTAGCCAGGACATAAAGTGTATCGGACCAAATCCAACTAATCTACTATTCTGAACACATAATTTATTTTGCTTTACCGTCGCCTTCCAGTATCGGAATATAAGAGTCTTCCTTTTCAGAATGGTATATGCTCTTAGCCTCCCTGCGCTCTTGCTCAGACTGCCATTCAACCTATAAAATACGATTTTGTAGTAATGTAACTGTAATATTTACCGATTTTAGCAAAACATACCTTCTGTTTGTGCTGTTTAATAGCATCATAACACCTGTCAAGTACCATTTTTTCTGTTAAGATTCCAGTATCGGACGCATAGGCCGCTGCTTGCCATGCAACACCCAACTTAGCGATCTCTCTTCCAGACATACCATCCGTAATCTTGGCCATCTTGCTACACAATGCGCTGTAATCGAAGTTATCCACTTTAAGTCTACGGATTCCCTCGGAGGCAGGTTGGAGAACAAATTTATCAAAGTACAAACGAATTAAACGTTCCCTCTCTGCAATTGCAGGTATATCAAATTCGACCATTTCATCCAAACGATCGTTGACAGCCCAATCGAATTGTTCGGGAGTGTTGGAAGCCAAAACCATCATGAATTTACCGCTTTGTTCGCCGGTACGATACAGGAAGGCGTTCAAAGTCGCCCTAAGATCTTCAGATATATTCTCTGATGAACGTTTCCTCAGGAAAGCGTCAGCTTCGTCAATGAAAAGGATCAAACCTTTGTGGGTGCTGTTGGCCCAGTCAAACACTTTGTGCACAGCAGTAACACCGTCCCTTCCCATAGGAGCAATGTCACCTCCAGTCAATATCGCATAATCCATATTGGAATGTTTGGCTAGCTTTTTGGCAAACATGGTCTTACCTGTTCCAGGTGGACCATGCATAAGTATGTTCCTGTATAAGCCTTTGTTATGTTTTGTATTTTTAGTGGCAATTGCAATATCCCTCAGTCTTTCCTCCAATTGAGGAGCCAATATGATACCAGACAGAGCATCAGATTGTTTTGCACGCATTTGCTTCAACGTATCAAAAGGATGTTTCAAAGCTTCCAAGAATGAGAACCTTGAGGTCTCGCGTACTAAAGATGGTTTTCCCAACCTCGCCTCAATGTAACGGGCACTGACGCCAGTTGCACCTTTCGCTGTGTAAACACCTAAAGCTAATAGAGAAAAACCTGCAGCTGCTGTGGCAACCTTATTCCAGTCTGTCAACATTGCTTGAGCACCTTGACCAATAACTGTGCCTGCAGTCCTAAATAATATTGAATTAATTGATATAAACAAGATGTTTAGGATTATATTTACTTGATTCCTTCCATAATTGTGATCCTATGCTCAGATGCTTTTAAACGGATTTGCTCCAAAGTCAAATCTCTATTCTCCCTATCTACTTTAGCCTTGGCTTTCAATTCAGCTTCCACCCTCTTCATTTCATTTTTATGTCTCAAATCCATTTCATGTTCAATAGTGGCTTTACGCATGGCCTCCTGTTTAGCAACCGATTCCTCTTGCTTTTTCAGATTATCCTCATTCTGTCTTTGTTGTTGAGCCAACTGATCTTCATATCTTTTCCTAGACAGTTGATCTTGGTACTGAGCTCGACTTTGATGTTGCCTGGTTTCTTCTTGAAGATACTTTCTCTTCTCTTCTCCCTCAGTTTTCTTTTGTTCAACTTGCATTTGTGCAATATGCGCTTCATATTCTTTGATCTTGGACTGGTACTCGTGTTGCCTTGTAACCTCTTGCAGCTTTGACAATTCCAAAGCTTCCTTTGCATTTTCTAGAATAACAATTCAAGGTTAGGATTATGCAACACCCTGCATTAACCTCAAAACGTACTTGATTTCTCCAATTCCTTGGCTGCCTGAGCAGCTCTTTCCAAAGCCGATGAATCAAACCTGTACGCTTCCATAACTTTCTTCTCAGCTTTGCTCAAGTTGGGGTCATTTGGGTCTCCAGCACCCCCGGCACCGCCGCCCTGCTGCGATGGGATCCCGAATTGGGACAGATCAGGCTGCTGTGGCTGCTGATTTCCTCGACCATATCCAAATAACCAAGACATTTTCGATTAGATTCCACGAACTTTTATCTAATAAACCATTCAGAAAACGTGACGAATACTTTTCTTATAGGTTAGATCGAATTACACGAAAGACATCAACTTCAGAGCGAACTGAAAATTGAGGATGGAGCGCATCATAAAATGTCTGGTATGTCATGAGCATACAGCGTTGCCAAACCATTATTCTAATCAATAATATTTTATAATAAATCAAGACCGAATTTCCCTCGATCTACTGGTTTTGCAGAGGTTTCGACCTGATACCACGCTAATTATTGGTTAATTATTGTAGATAGTAAAGGATCCCACCGATAAGCGACTGGCAAACGGGTCGACAGGACCTTGCCAAATGGGAAGGGGTTTCCAGAAGGAAGCTCATTATTGAAAGAAGAAGAAGAAGAAGACCGAATTTAGATATAAATAGTTATCTAATTTATCAACTATTACAACATATAGATTTTTATAAAAAAAACAAACATTTTATAAGTTTATTTGTGAGAACGGATACAAAATTTAAATTATAAACAATATACTTTTAATAATATATATGTAACATGATACAAATTGTATCTACTTAATAACTTCTTTCCAATAAAAGTTTGTAAATAAATAATAAATTGTTATTGATTCTTTATTATTAGTAAATATATTTTCACCTTGAAGACATTGTTACATTTTATATAAATAATAAATTCTATTTATTTGTTTTTAAAGATACGTATATATTTGTAACAGTTTTCAAGTAATATGGGTCTTAGACCTACTTAAGTCAATTAAGGAAGCAGTACGGCTTTAACAAAACAAACGGTAAATGAAACGGTTTATTTTAGCCAACAACATACCAAAGCCAACTTTACCGAAATTCGACTGAATATCATCAACGTGTAAAAAGTGCCGTCAAGTCCCATTCCATTCATCATTGACAGTTTTGAAGTGTCTGTTTGTAGGTTATGTGCATTTAGTTGGTCCTTTGAATGACACGTTTATATCGGCTGTACACGTCCTGTCCGCGTTTTTAATTGATCTTACATATGTGAAAAGGGATCCGTGAAAAATGGGAGGACAAAAATTCCAATACGACGAAAGCGGCGGGACATTTTTTTATTTCCTACTCTCTTTCCTAGCGCTAACCTTAATACCAGCCACTCTCTATTATTGGCCAAGAAAACAAAAGGAGGGTAAGTCTTACAATTCAAAAGCAAGCGCAAATTCACGTAATTACTTCTAAAATTTTAAAGATCCCGAAAAAGTGAAGAGGCAGTGCAAATGTGAACAATGCAGTCTGAAGAGAGAACATATGAAAACAGCTGCTCCATGGAAGGGCCCCAAAAATTTATTCATCAAATTTGTAATCATCCTTGGATGGATCATATTAATTCTCATTGCCTATAAGGTATCACAGTTTGATTATGAGATGTCCAACTTTGATCCCTATGAGATCTTGAAAGTCCCAGTTGGAGCATCACAAGCTGAAATCAAGAAGGCTTACAGAAAGCAGTCAGTAATATTGCATCCTGATAAAGAAACTGGTAACGAGAAAGAGTTCATGAGACTTTCCAAAGCGTATCAGGTAATAAATAATACACACATTATCAGAAATAATGTTAAAAATTATAATTAATTGTGATTTAGGCTTTGACTGATGACGAGGCACGTAAAAATTGGGAAAAATATGGTAATCCAGATGGTCCAGGAGCAATGAGTTTTGGTATAGCTTTACCATCATGGATTGTTGAAAAAAAGAACAGCATCTGGGTTCTTGGTTTATATGGCTTAGTGTTTATGGTAGCCTTACCAATTGTCGTAGGCACCTGGTGGTATAGGAGCATCAGGTTTTCAGGGGATAAAGTTTTATTGGACACAACACAAATGTATTATTTCTTCTTCCATAAAACACCACATATGATGTGGAAACGTGTGATAATGATCTTAGCTGCTAGTTTTGAATTTGATAAAAAATATAATTCAGAAATCGTAACTCGTCCATCTGACGATGAGGAGGTACCACAGCTGACGAAATCATTACCAAATTTGGGCGAGAAGAATAAAGAAAGGCCTCTGTGCTTTCCTTACAGTATTAAAGCCAGGGCGCTCATTCACGCTCACTTGATGCGGGTACCGCTAAATCCAAGCACATTGGAAATAGATCGTAGATACATCATCAATAAATGCCCATATTTAATTCAGGAGCAAGTCAATTCTGTTAACCAATTGATATTGCTTGCATACGCGAGAAGAAGTAAGTAAATTATATATAAAAAGAAACATTTAGTAGTAAAACCAATGTTATTTCAGTACCAAAGTTGCCGAGTATTGAGACAATTGAAAATTGCATGCGGATATGCCCCATGGTAGTTCAAGGTATTTGGGAGGTCAGGAATATATTCTTGCAATTGCCGCACATCACGATGGACAATTTGAGATATTTTCAAAACAAAAAGGTGAGTTCTGCACAGCTCTATTCAGTTCATTTAGTAAATTATGCGTTTATTATATATATATAGCGGCCGATAAAAACCCTGCAACAATTTGCCCAATTGAAACCAACAGATCGCAGAAATATCTTGAAGAGTTTGTCCGACGAAGAATACGAGGACGTGATGAAAGTATTGGGTAGTATGCCTTGCGTGGATTTCCAAGTGAAATGCGAAGTTGTGGACGATGAGAATTCAACAGAAGTCACTGCCGGTGCTATTGTAACAGTAACAGTAACTTTAGTTAGGAAAGATCTTAAAACGCTATTCAAAACTGAACCTGTCGTTGGAGAGAAAGGCGTGGAGAACGGAATCGAAGAAGATAACGCGGACGAAGAATCTAAGGTTGATCCTAAGAAACCCGCCTGGCAGAAGAATAGAAAAAAATATAATAAGAAAGCTCCAAAAACGAAAAGCAAAGTAGCTCCAGCTGCAACTTCCTCTGTTAAAGTGAAGCCAGATGAGTCGCCTGCGCCAACCGTAACTAAAGTGGAGAAAGCAAATGAAAACGTTGAAAATAGCGATGATTCTGACAGCGAAGTGGATACTAATGATAGGTCCTCCGATGATGAAGTCAAGAATTCCAATGTCGAAGACGATGATCAAGAGTGGGAGAAGTTCCAACAGAAAGTACACAAAAGAGATGGAGTTTTAGAAGGGAAATCAAAGATGTCTCATTCCGTTGTGCATTGTCCCTATTTCCCCAGTGATAAACAAGAATATTGGTGGACTTACATTTGTGATAGAAAGTCTAGGACACTTCTAACACAACCTTATCATATTACAAGTTTAGTGGATAAGGAGGAGTATCACCTGAGGGTGAGTCTTACCAAAATTACCTGGAGCGAAATCAGTTTGAAACTTTTTTTTTTTATTTTCAGTTCACTGCTCCGAATTGGAAGGGCGTTTATTATTTCACCGTGTGTCTTAGGTCTGATTCTTATTTGGGATTCGATCAACAGAAAGACATAAAACTGGACGTTAAAGAAGCTCCAACTGAAATCACCGATCATCCGCAATGGGAGTTCGAGAATTCCGAAGAAGAAGATCAGGTCGCCGACGATGGTCACGAATCCGAATTCACGACTGACGATGATCTGCCGGACGATGACGACCATTAGGTTAATTTATCATTTTTTTTAAGATTCTTATTCAGTGCATCAAAGATTCAAACAGAACTGTTGACATTCCATGCTGTATGTGTTAAATGAGTGGGGAACAAAAACCAAAGATTAACCCATCATTAACTACGAGAAACGTAAAGAACTGTTGTACTGATTGTGCCCTGATATTTTTTTTCAGTTTATTTATGATTTGAAGAAACGTGACAGTGAGTTAGGAATACTTTGAATGATCAACAACTATGGCAATGGGGCGTTTTAATTTTGTTCAATCTTAGTGAAATAAATATTAAAAAAAAAAGTATATTTATAATAAAATCTTTAATTATGTGTATTAGATTGATTTCTTATTTGTATTACCTATTATTTTTTTAACAAAATTATAATGATTCGAAACATTTTTCTTTCATAATATTTCAGACAATTTCTAACAATTGCAAATACAGAAGAAACTATTTACTCTACATTGACTACCTTTACAATTATAATACATTTGTTTGAGGTTAGAAGTCTTTGTTATTGTATAAACCAAGGTTAGTGTTGGACAAGTTTGTGTGTGCAAGTGTTAACCGTTTTTCATGAAGAGTTATCGATATTGTCTTACGTGATTCTGCGATAAATTTATCAAAATTAATGTCGTTTTACTTATATTTAACTGTTGATTTCGTGTATAGTTTCTGTTGATTAATGTCAACATTACAAAATGAGTTTGAAAGAGAATCTCTGCAATTTATTTTCAAAAAAATTGAATGATAGGAAAAGTGGTACAGAGAATTTGTTCAATCTAATTAATAATAAAAGAACTATTGATTACTTAGAAAATCCAGATGTTGATCTAGATTGGAATGATATATATTCAAATGTTTTTAAGGCTTTAGTTCAAGTAAGATATTTTTGTTTTTAATATAATAACAATTGTAATAATTCAATGAACTTTTATTTAATATAATATGTTTCTAGGAATTGCAACGTATTGATGGTAATAAGTTGAATGGTGTAAAGACTCCAAACAGTAATTTTGTAATGGTAAATAGTTTAAAAGATTTACTTGTTTCCATTGTGAAAGTTGCTAATCGAAAACGTATGTAGCAAAATTATTATAGTGAATGTTAATAATATAAACTGACTTATTTAGGGGGCCAAATAGAATTTAAATCAATTCACCAAAGTTTGAAGAAATGCATTAATGAGACAACATACAGAGATTTATGTCTCAAAGAATTTCTTCTAATTATGAGAGAACATGTTCTCCCAAAATTTATGTATTGGATTACAATTACCAAAGAGGAATGGAATGGTGAGGATATAAAATTATAAAAGTGTATGTTAAAGATAAGTTTTTAACTGCAGATTTGTTAACTGATTTGGACAATGTACGTACATATAATGAGGATTCTGCAAAAGCTATTATCTGCATTCAACAATGTATGTTTCATGGAAGTAAACATAAGTTGCAGAGAGCAGGCTTTAAACAACATTATGAAATTATTGTGAATATTTCCAAAACTGTTACAATTGCTTCACAAGGCTGGATGAAAGAATCTTTACTGGAGATGGTTTTAACATTTTGTAAAAATGTATTTAGTTAAAAGTCTATTGTGTTTAGATATTAATTCATTATTTTTTAGCATATGAATGATTGTAGAATGTTGTGCTGTGAATTAGGAGAAACCATACTGGGAAATTTAATACAGTTGTATGAAAACTACGCCAAACAGAATAATATAACGGTAAGGATTTTATCTTTTTCGCGTCTCATAATATACTTATGTCTTTATGTTGTTTCAGTTATTACTTCTTGAAATATTTATTATACAATTGAAAATACATCATCCTAATGGAGCGTCGGAGAATGAAACTTACGCTTATGCAAATTCTTGGCCAGCATGGAAAAGAATTTTAAAATTTCTGTATTCTTTCATAGATAACGTTTTTAAAATTAGCGATAAGTTCCTTCTTCAATATGCGGAAAACAAGAAATATTTTCATCCGCTTTTTGCAAAATTCGCCGTGGAAGTATTTAAACAGGTTTGAACTGAATGCTTTACCATAAACATACAAACAGATAAGTTTATTTTTTTTTAGAAAAATCATGTTTATGATCCAATTTCTGATGCAACTCAGAAACGTGTATGTGCAGATTTCGGTTTTATGCAGTTAGTAGATGAAATTGAAGGTTCAAAAAATTGGACTTGGTAAGATTAACAGATTGTTGTTTTCACATTGTATAAATAAATAAAACTTTTATTATTGCAGGATATATTTATGCAATGAAATTATTAAAAAATATCCTAAACTCTTATGTGCTACAGCTTACATAAGACTTTTGAAATTTCTGGCCAATTATATATTTGAATGTAAACTTGCCTACGAGTATACATTAGTCTTTAATTGTCTTACATCATTGCTTGATATGGAATCTGTATTTGGACGTGAACAATTAAGAGAGCAAGAAATTGATGTTATATGGACTTCCTTGTGGGATACTAGCTTAAAGTAAGTAAAATATTAAAAGTTATAACTGATAATATTTTGCATTCTTTTCAGAGTCCTAGGTTTAGCTATGAACACCGAAGAAAATCATAATTTTATAAGACGCATGATTGTCTTGAAAAAAGCACCAAGGAATAATCAATTGATTATGATGTACAAGTTGAAAAAAGTTAAAATTTCGGAAGACAGTTTAAAAACATTGAATCTGTTATGCAGCGAGCATTGCTTGACGGACAATTCTGAACGGGATTTATTACATTGGGTCATGCAAAATGATATTTATGAGCATTTCCAATGCGCAGTGTATGCTGAAACTATTGTTCATTTGATACTAACGCAATGGCCTAAAGTAAGTGAACTTGGTTTAAAAGTAACGGATCAGAGACATTCCGATGGAAGAGATGATTTAAATGTAGAAGAATTTAGAAACATCGATCAAAGTTTAAGAAGTGATGATGTGCAGATATCAGCGACCGTTCATAAAGATTACGTTATAAATAGAGAAGCATTCGAGGAATTGCTAGACTTACTGGGAAATCTCTGCGAGAAAGTTGCAAACAATGATATTGAGAATGTGAACAACATTTTCTACGTGATGATATGTTTTTTGAATATAGTAAACTATTTTAAAATTTATAAAATTGATGATGGCGTGAAGTCTTTGATAATATTACTAAGAAAACTGAACGAAGGAACAGTCTGGGATATATCCGTGAAGCTATTAAAGAAAGCAAACGAAAGAGGACGTTTTTTGAACAAAGAAATTATTCAGTTACTACAAAAAGTATTTTCCGTTGACTTGGAAGATGCAATTAAAGTACCGGTAGATTTCATATCTACAGCATTTTCGTTTCTCGCAGTAGAAGAAGAAGGACAGGATGTCGAAAATCCTATTGATGTTAAAGTGAACAGTGCTAAAGAGTCGATGAATTTAGAAATATTAAATATGATTTGTCAGTTTGCTTTCGCTTCTAATGGTGGTGGTGAATTAAGATCTCAAGCGAAACAAGTTCTTCTCAATCCTACTTTGGATTTCAACAATGACATTCAATATGAACAAATGATAACAGTTTTAAGATTTACCAAACGCACTGAAAACATTAGCTTTATGGATGTTTTGGAAATACTGAAAAGAATTTGCCAAGACCGTTATCAAGAACATAGAATTGCATCGGATATTTTGGAAATCGTTTATAATGTACTCGAGAATACTTTGCTTCATGATTATGAAGATTTATATGCATTACTCGATCCTTTTTACGATGGCAGACATAATTATAGTATAGATATTATAATGAAACTCGTGGACTGTTACGGAATGATTGGAGATATGAAGGCAATGTTTATGATCGCGGATTTTCTTCTTCATGATAGTATAATGGTTCGCATGAATGCTATTAAAACATTCACAAATATACTGAAGAAACAAAGGCTCTTTGATTATGGTGTCTTTGAAATGCAAAAAGATTTTTTTAAGAAAATTTGCATCGTAAATGAAAAACTGTTCGAAACTGTGATCGAAATCGGCGACGATGACGGACTCTCGAATCGACTTGCAACAGTTTTGTACGCATTGGGAAGTATCATATGTTATTGCAGCGCGTTTCGTAAAATTGCATTGTTCGAGCTTTTCAAAATATCGCATATTCAAGACATAGATCTGCATAAACTTAGTAAGATGATTAAAATTATATCGAAGGAAATTGGCTGCGAAAACTCTTACGCGTTTCTAGAAAACAGTTTGGATTATTTGTTGTTGCAATGGATAACGAAGGGGTTTTCATTGAAAAAGTTCCCATACACATTGTTGGGATGTCTGACGGACTCGAATTTCTATAACACGTACATGTCGTCCATTTTGCCAATACTGTTTAACGAAAAGGAGGAGACGGACTTTGAAAATATTTGCGAAAAAATTGGATGCAGCGTTCAAAATGTCATTAAAGAGGCGTACCCTTTCGTAAAAATCAGAAGTTTAGTCGAGTCAAATTTGGAAGATAGCAAATTGAATGAAGTTATCAATAGGAGATTAACAAAATATTTACCTGAAGACGATAGAAAACAATTAATTGAAAATAGAATTGATGATGTTTTCATTGCGGCAATCCAATTTGTTTTTGATATGGACGACTTCAAGATAATATTCAATATGGATTACTGTTTGCCACTGCCAGATACCACACATGTCGACATTGCAGGTTTTCAGAACATATTAACACTACTGCAAGAAGATATTAATTGGGCAAATTTCATGGAAGTTTTGATTACAAAGAAAGACAAGCTTCAGCAAATTCTTCTGAAGCTCACGAAAAAGATACACAAAGCGACGAGCAGAGAAGAGCGAATTTTGAGCTTTTACAGATACGTAGTCTTTCTGCAACTAATTCATCCTCAATTGATCGACCGCCGATTCTGCTTGAACAACTATTTAATACGAGATATAACTTATACTCTGGTGAATCTAATCGATGGCAACATAAATGAAGTTCATAAATTGGCCATAATATATTTAAAAAAGTTTATTAACGACATTTTGCCTGGTTGCGTTACAGCGTTTCAAGAGTACTTGCCTGTAATCGTGGGAAGTCTTGTACCTATAGCGGATCAAACCACAGAGATATCCGATGATGCAATGAATGTAATGAATATTATTTTCCAAGAGAACGCTAAACGTCTAGAGGAGGGTTTGAAATATTTAGATCCATTGCCCGATAAGGATAGATTTTCCGAATTGCGATTGCTGCATCATAAAGTGAAATATGATCAAGTTAATTGCGCACTCGGGCAAGAAATTGAATACTTTTTGAAGGCCGGTGAATTGGTGACGCGGGCAGGATGTCGCACAGAGGGTTTGAAATATCTAAGGAGTAAGCTTAAAACGAAAAAAGACGAACTCAAAATACTGTACAACGAGTTGTACTTGTATCGTGGTGTTTCGAATTCGACGAGTAATTTACACAAACTTGTATACAAATTGATGGATCTTGCCATTTCGACTGATTCGGCGGAAAGCTTGGAAGCCACGAAATGTATAGGTGAATTGGGATCCGCTGATTTAACAACGATGGTATTGAAAAATGAAGAACCCCACGACGACCTCAATGCAAAACCCACGCATCTTGCTGCCGCTCGCATAATGACATCGTTAATACATTTTCTTGTAGACCAAAATATCGACGTGGTATGTGCCACCTCCGATGCACTATACTCAATTTTGAAATGCAACGAGGGCAACAGTGCTGCAAATAAGTTGATTCCTCGTAGTATTCAATACTTGAAACCATTCATATGTACGACGAAGACAAAGCAAATTAATATGGAAGTTGACAATAAATTTCTGGAAGTAATCAAAAATGAAGATCTTTGGTGTCCTGAACGTATATTGGATCATAATCAATGGATAGTTAGTTTGACTTCAGAAATACTGAATTGTATCAATAAACCGGAATGGTATAAAACGTTGATTCCATTGTGTAAATTGAAAGTTTCCTTTGCCGAGTCGCTACTGCCCTTGCTTGTAAATATAATTGTAGAGCAGAATAATAAGTATTTTAAGATTATATCAGAATCGATTGGAATGTTTTTCGAGAAGCATTGGGATTTGCACTGGAATGGCAAAAACAACGAATGTGGATTAGTTATGATGCAGAAGCCGTCTGTAAAGTGTATGCTAACTACCGTTCATTTTATTAGGCTTCATAGAAACACATTAAGTAACGCTTCAAATTTGAAAACCAACGTCGAACTGCAAATAAACCATCTGCACGTGGCATTGGCGGCGCAATTCTGTTCGGCGCATTTTTCAGCATCTATGTTTGCAGAATTATGGTGTCAACGAGAAATTGTTAAGAAAGCAAATGTGTTGAACAACAATGCTTCTGTGTTGGCTACAATCTGCGAGACATCAGACGATTCAAAGGCATTGAAATCTATACTGAAAGAGGTAAGGTTCTTTAACGCAAATATAATTTCAGTTACATTTTCTCTTTTCAGACGTATCGTAATATCGGCGATAAAGATGCATTGCTTCCTTGCCAATTGATAGATCCATGTGATCTTCCCCATTACATACAATTCCACAAGTCCATTGATTTTGAGACATCTTTAATAAATTGTGGTTTGTACGAGTTGGCCGCGAATAATAATTCCGCAAGTGTACAATACGAATGCCTGTGGCGGTTGGGGCGTTGGGATGGTTTGTCGGAACGCGAACCGACCAACACTTTCGATTGTCACTATTACAGTGCGCTGAAGGCTCTGAATGATAATGATTTAGTAAGTCTCGGTGAATCTGTCGAAAGAGCAAGATCCGTTTTGTTGGAATCGTTCAGGCATGAGAGCTTGGAAAGTTGTAAGCATTTGTACAAATCTACGACGGAATTTCAATGCTTGCATGAATTGGAAGATGTGAAGAAAGCGGTAGCAACTGATAACTATAAACACTTTTTAATCGATTGGCTCATCAAAGATTCTATTAATCCCAATGAATTTAAGTACGTCGAAAGGATTCTGTCGCATCGCATCGCCATACTAAATATATTAGTATCAAATGATAACACTGAAGTAATGAGCGATCTTATTGATTATCAGTTAAAATTATCAAGTACGTATTTATTAATTGATATATATTATTTATTATTATTTGTTTTAGGTTTAGCACGATCGCAGAGCAATTTTAATGTGGCAAGAAGGTGTGTCGATAATTTGCAAAAGAACATGTACATGGACGAATTATCAAAACAGAAAATTACATTGGAACATGCACAAATTATATGGAATATTCATAAACCTACTGGCATGTACATGCTGAAAGATTTACTCAAAGAAGCCGGAGGCGATGAACGGTAATAATAAGTAATTTATTATAGAGTTATCATGTTGTACTTTTTTTTGTAGATTTGTGTCGAAATCATTAAAATTATATGGACACTGGTCAATTGAATCAAAATCGGAAACAACTGAATCAATAATATCAAATTACTTTTTGAAATCTATTGATTTGTTGAATAAATATCGCGCAAGAGATTCTTCTTCGGAAATAGTGGACGAAATATGTGATAGTTACGATGTGCTGGCTTGTTTCGTGGATGAGAAATATCAAGAGATAATGGATTATATCGAGAGCCCTCTGTTTCAAGATAAAATCAAGAAAATGGAAACATTTAAGAAATCTGAATGTGAAGTGAAGAGCAAGACGAGAAGCTCTAATTATGATGAGAGAGTGGCTGCTATAACGTATTCGAAACAGAGTAACATCGATGAAACCGAAATTGGAATTACTCTTAAAGAAAAGAATAATTATCTGGAGCTGGCCGTTAAATATTATCTGCTAAATTTAAAGTTCAGCAATAAGTCGAATATTAAGTTGTACAGGGTGATTTCGCTGTGGCTAAATAACAAGTCTAACGTCGAACTGATGGCAAAAATAAATGTGAATTTACCGAAAGTGCCAAGCTACAAGCTTTTAGCAGTGCTGCCTCAATTGGTGCCGCACATTACAAATAACGATGACGATTCGTTCGGACAACTGGTGAATAGTTTAGTTGAAAATTGTGCTAAAGAGCATCCGCATCACGTTATACCAATAATACTTTCGGTATCACATTCTGACAAAGATTCCGAATACTCGGATACATCTCTTATTACAAGGAACGAACCTCGAACATTGGGAGCGCAAATTATGATAACAAGATTGAAACAAATATCCAAAATTAAAAGAATAATTGAACAATTGGAAGACACTACGCTCGCATTGATCCAATTAGCTTATTACAATACGGATCTTTCCAAAGGTACAAACGTCCATTCAGAAAATTTCTTTAAAATTCCAAATACGTTTAAAATTAGAAAAATAAGAAACTACGACGATGCATTGTTAGTTACCTGCAATTTAGATATTAAACCCAATTGTGATTATGGAAATATCGTGGGTAAGTTAAATTATTTTCGTTGCATATTTACATTTTTGTACTAAACATTTTGTACTTTTTTTTTTAGGTATTTACAAATACGATCTGGAATATAATTTAGTTGGTGGAATAAACGCACCGAAACGCATCAAATGCACGGGAACCGACGGAATAGCTAGACGACAACTTGTTAAAGGAAAGGATGACTTAAGACAAGATGCTGTCATGCAACAAGTTTTTGAAATGCTGAACGAATTATTGGCTGGTAATAAAGAAACTTTCAATTTGCGTATAAGAACATACAAAGTGAGTAAAATCCGTGCAATCAATGTATTATCAACGCATTGTACTAATTTGGACATAATTTCAGATATTACCACTTTCGCAGCGTAGCGGAGTTCTGGAATGGGTTGAAGATTCAATGACGATTGGCGAATATTTAACAGGTACCAAAAACAGACCAGGCGCACATAAAATGTATAATCCCGGTGACATCACTCCCGAATCGTGTCACAATCAACTGAAATCCGTGCAGGACATGCCGTCTGATAGAAAGTTGGCCGTGTATAATAAAATTTGTAAGCAATTAAGGCCGGTCTTTCATAAATTCTTTGAGACCACTTTTCTGTACTCTACTGAATGGTACGAAAAACGCCGCGCTTATACGCAGAGTGTTGCAACAACCAGCATATGTGGATACATCTTGGGATTGGGTGATCGACATCTTAACAATATACTGTTGGATAAGAAAACAGCGGAAGTTATTCACATAGATTTTGGTAAGTATCTAATGGTGAGGAAAAGTAAACATAATAATTGATTTTTTTTTTAATTGCAGGTATTGCGTTTGAGCAAGGCAAAGCCTTGAAAACTCCGGAAACTGTTCCTTTCAGATTAACTAGAGATATTGTAGATGGCATGGGTATTTCAGGAGTCGACGGTTGCTATACTAGGTAATTTATATATAAATTTCGTTTTTGAAAGCGATAAATAAACTTTGAAATTTCAGTTCTTGCGAGAAAACTATGAGCGTCTTGAGAAATAATGTTAACACAATAACAGCTATTTTGGAAGTCCTTCTATATGATCCACTGTACATATGGAAAATTACGCCGTACCGTGTATTGAATTGTCAGAAGGAAATTAATGATGATGCCATTACTTCTTTAGGTATGAAATATTCATTTATAACTTCTTCATTTATATAAATATGTATTTTCATTGCAGAAACTGCGCCAGTAAACTTGACTGCTGAAAGAGCATTAAGTAGATTACGACAAAAGTTGCTTGGAATTGAATGGGGTCAATTCTATACTGTTGAGCAGCAAGTGGCCAGACTGATACAGGAGGCAAAGAATCCTGAAAATTTATCAAAACTGTTTTGTGGCTGGAGACCATATTTATAATTATTTGTTACTTATTTATATTTTTGATATAATATATTGTTTAAATGATGGAAATAATTCGTTTTTATTCTACTATAAATGTTCAAATAATATCAAAATACGTATTGCGATATGTTTTCAAATGCGAAAGAAAAAAAACTTTGGTCAATAGCCTTTTGTATTATGATATTAAGTAAGGAAGGTAAGAAAATGTGATTTCATATTATTGATATTTGAAATGATCAAAAAATTGGCTAGAAATTATTTTCTTTTTATTGACTTAAATATTTGATACATTTAACAAACCAATTCGAACAAATTCAATATCCTTTAAAAATTAAAAAAAATAATTTTATTCATCGATACGATTATATTTTAAATAATTGAATAAAGTTTAATAAATTGAAAGTGTTTAGAATATAATATGAAGGATTGTCAACCGATTTATATGATAAAAGAAAAATTCGAACATTTCTCAAGAAAAAAATAAACGTAATATAGAATTTCGTGGAAATAGAAAAGAAAAGAAAAAAAGAAGCAAGAATATTAGATTGGACAAATACTGAATATGTAATAAACTCTTTAGAATACCATTCTTTTTTTTTAGATATATCCATAACATTATTTATTTACTTCTACATATACTAACATTTCTTTTGAATTAATAAAAATAAATCATCGCTCGCTGGCTTCAACTCATACGTACATAGAAAGTTAATGTTAATTAGAAGCGACATATCCTATAATTGCAGACGTAAGTAACCGAGGAGGAAATTGTACAAAAAAGAAAATAATAACATGATCACTTACGTCTGCATCTATTTATCGACCTTTCAGAACATTTAATACCTCGCGCATGTCAATATCCAAGTTTTTCACCATGGAGATCGCATTTTTCAATTCTTCTTTCAGTTTGTTCAAATCGGGAAAACCATCCTGCATATTCAACAGTGTGTAAAAATACATAGTCCACAAATCACTGTTCCAATATCTCGTGAATTTCTGAGCTATGGTCCACATGTTGTCCGGAGTTTTCTTAAGCACTATATATTTTTCAAATAGAAGAACGTGAGTGGTTGCTGCAAGGCAAAACAAATCTGTATGATAACTCCAGCGCCTGCCATCCCTCATTTCACAGCAAATAAAGTTATCGGTGGTCACGGCTCTAGTGAATGTTGTGCCTTCTGGATACAAGGACATATCGATGCTACATCCAAAATCGATGAGTTGCAACTGGATAGTGTTATTAGCGCGCAACATTACTAAAAAGTTGTCCGGTTTTATATCTGCATGTATGATTTTTACTTTGTGCATCGCGTGAATGATATCGATCATTTCTATTGTTAAATATATGCAGAGATTCTGACTCAATTGCTTTCCGCGTTTCGCTCTTAGTAAATTGCTCAAGTCCAGCAATGATCCGTATGGCGAATATTCGGACAGAAGCACCGACGTTGATTCATCTAAGGAAACAAAATAGAATTTATAGTAAAAAGTATACACAAATTAATTAAATAGGAAACTTACTGAAATAGCCAACTTCAACGTTCATGAAACGATCCTGCAGAAATTGTAATTCATGCGCAACCAGTCTAGATTGCAATTCTCTGCATATGTAGTATTCCCATTTGTTAGGAGGTTTCTGAATCTTCAAGGCAACGACTTGACCATCCGGCCTATTCCCTTTGAACACAGAACCGTAAGTACCTTTTCCCAATAGCTTGTCAACAATGAAACGGTCATTCCCTACATAGCATGCATCTTTTTTCACAGCCAAACGTGGCGCACTATTAATAAGAACGTGATTATTTCGATGTCGTCCCGGAAATTCAACATGATTTAAAAGTTTACTAATAACATCTGCTTTGAAAGGATCAGATGGAGCATTTGGTAAAACAGGATAAGGGACGTATCCTTCGTCATAAACGATCGTTGCGAGATCTTCATTGTCATCATCGACTTCATCTATGTCATATCCATCAGGCTGTGAATCGAATTCCATCAAATTAGCTAAAGAGGATTGCCTAAGCGCTTCATTAACTTTTAGATTTTGCGAGAGATAGGCTCGGTATTTATCTTCCTCTTCGATTTTATCCAACGATCTAGGAGCAGATGGCAATGACTTTGCAGTTGCACCGCTTGTAGAACTGAAATTTGAAATAATGTTCACATTAATAATTCTAAATAACTGAATGTTATCACACTTACGATAGTTCTTCGTAAATCACAGACAGTTTATTGTCAGGTGGAAATAATTCCTTTTTTAATACAGATACATTAGCAGGATCAACCGCATTCGCTTCGAGATTCTGTTGCTTATTTTCAGGTGTGCTCACGTAAAACAAATTTAAATTGAATAACGTTGTATTTGTTCCATTCAAGTCGGATATAGCAGGCGGAGCTGCTGCTAATCCGGATGAGCTATCATCATCGTGATCGAACATAGCCAACCGTTTAGCTCCATCAACGGGTTGTGCAGCTGCAGCACTATCCAAACCTCCCCTGGATCCGGTTTCCGCCAAATCATCATCCGTTAAAACTTTGAAAGGTGTCTTCATTGCACATGCTAGAAATTACATGTTTAAAGAAAACTATTTGAAATGTATATTAACAAAAAAAAAAACCTTTGGCTTGCATTTTTGGAATGGTTTGCAACATTTCTCCAGTTTCTTCAAATATAGGAAATGCTGACACTTGTGGCTTTTGTATAGGTTGCACATTAGATTCAGTTGGAGACCAAATTTCAAATGATTGCTGCGAAGCTAAAGTTGTTTCAAACGGATTTATCTGTGGCCAATTACGTGATCCATTGTTATCCAACATTGGTGGCTGTTGAATAGGACTATTATTTCCTAATCCAATATGTGGCGATCTCAACGTCTAAAAACAAACGAAAACACTTACAAATCTTACACTACATCTAAAGTATCATAAATTACTTCATTTTGCTGCTGTATAAAACTTCTGTGTGATTGCATGTTATTGTAACTTAAGCCATGCGTATCCATAGATCTGTGCTGATGCTCATTATTCATGTGATGAGAATCACCGAAAGTCATTGCAGGTAGTTGAGGATACAGTTGTCCATCATGAATTTGCTGGATACTTTGATTTATTTGTTGGGAATGGATTGATTCGTTCATACTGAGATGAGGATGTGGGCTTTGTTGTGGTTCGTGCATACTAAGTTGTGAGTGCTGGGTTTGCTGAGGTTCGTGCATACTTAAATGTTGATTTTGAATTGGTTCATGGATACTCATATGAGGCAGGTTGTTACTATGGTTGGGTTCTTGAATGTTTAAATGAGGCTGGTGAATTGGAAGAGTTCCGTGCATATTAAGGTTCGGTGGTTCATCATGTATTTCTTGCATGGAATGATCCATTTCGTCACCCATTATGCTCTGCACTGCTTGCTCAGTTTCCATGTAGGGATTGCTAAGCCGAGACCGAATTAAATAACGTCTGGCTCTCACTTCCTCTGGGCTGTATTCCGTCATTGGATCAATATATACTTCTGTTTTACAGTACATAGGTATTTTATTTGGATCATCAGGATCTGGGAAGCAAATGCTAACTTTCCATTCAGAAAAATCTTGATGGGTGACTGGGAAAAAGTTGGTTGGCAACCTAATACCCAATGATTCAGGTGAATCATTGCCATCATCCTCATGGACTGCAAAAGCAATATTATAATTTAAAAAAATTGATTATAGTAAATTGAATAAAATATTTACCTGTAAAATGTGATACTTTATGTGGTGCTGCAGCTGATCCTTTTTTTCTGGAATTCGTCCATACGCCTGGTTTCATAATATTCTCTTTGGGGGCATCTCGTTTTACAACTGATAAAATACTTATTGGAGGTGCTCCAGCACCCAGAACAACCTCAGATTGATCATTGTATACTTGGACAGATGCATTCGGTCTAGTTGTCGGATCTGCAGAAGGTAGTAATCCTGGAGTATCGGCCGCTACTGTTCGAACACTACCAACTCTGCCCGGTCTTATAGGTTTCAACATAGTCAAAGCTTGTCTTTGTTCATTTAATCGTGATTCGTCCACACCGTTTATGACTTGTTGACCAGCAGCAAATACCATGCTATGTTGAGCATTAAAGAGGTCTTCCACAGGTTGAGCCAATTCACTTATCCCCAATTTGAATATCGCATTTGCATTCCGAAAATCTCCATTGACTTCATAATAATATGCCCAACCTTTATATAAATCAGCACAACCTTTGCATATATCTTTTGAGAATAACATATGATAGATTTCAATAGGATTTTGCTGCATATCAATCTAAAGAAGTATCAATATTAATAACATTTAGTTGGAAACTTAGTTGGTACAAATACTTACAAATTTATTTAAGATTTTACAAAATCTGCTATCATTTTTGTATCGGTCATCATGTTCAAATTTCCTAACACAATCCTCCAATATGGGAACCACATTACTTTCATGTCCATTCTTAGGATAAACCTGATCTATCCACGATATGTATTGATAATAATTGGCCAAAGGATCATCCCCAGTGTATGTGCGAATAGCATTTTCAAATTCACTTAAATCAAAATAAATCAAATCATAAGTACCACACATCTTCGTCAAACTAAATCTACATGCATGCACTAAGTAATTAGTTTTTAGCAATAAAATGAATGATATAGCAATGTATACATTAATCAAGTAATATTAATTAAATAACCCTCTATTGGAGCAGCTCTATTACACAAGGATAACTCACGATTTCTGCTGCATCAAATCCTGCTGAACCTCAGGATTGTGCTGGGCTTGCAATGCAACCCCAAGTTGTGTTACATTTCGTCCACCTCGTAGGGGTTGAATATTTTCTTTACTTGTATCAAAATCCATCGTCCTCAACGAAGTTCGCAACTGTCAAAACGGTTGGAGCTTTTGCAGAAATCGACACACGGTGAGCTACATTCGCTTCGTAAACCCCATTTGTTATTATAACAGAATTATAGGAATGCAATGAAATCAACTGTTCCTTCTAACACACTTACAAGTTTCTTTCACGATTTTAGCAAATATAAACACGAATGCCGGATTTTGTCTGGCTGAAACTTAATGACAATGCATACCAAGTACGAACTGAAGTTGAATCATAATTTTTGAATGCTGTATTTGTAACGGAAAAAAATATTTAATATTAAATTTATCACTGACATTTTAATATAATGCACATTATAATAAATGTAATTGTTGATTAAGCACTTTTTGAAATTAAATTATATAAACAAAAACACAGAACAAGAATAAAACGACAGTCAGTGAACGATTGGCTGCACTGCACCGTAAACGCGGCAAACCAAAATAATACAAACGTATTTTTCTAAGCTTCCCAACTGAAGGGATGAGTTTATGAGAGAATCAGACGTGGAAACAATTCACATCTTGCAATCTACCTAATAACAACTTTCTGTATCTTCCATACTATGATAAGAGTTTATAAACTGGTTAAATGTGTTCTCATTTTGCTTCAGTTTGAAAGTTTTAGATCTTTTTAGCATACCTATAAATTTGATTCATTTACTTACATACAGAACTTGAATCTTTTCAAATACTCAAATATTATTTGTTAAAATAGTTATTCGAATGTTGTATAATAAATCACAGTATAATCAACTCATTTGTGTATGTATGTTATTGAAATTATCTTTGTCTAATGTTATCTTAATTGGTTTTATTCTTTCTTTTGTCGGCGACTGAATAAAACCATAGTTTTTGTATAGAAAACGTGAAATTTATTTGAAGTTTTTTCTATTTTGTAATAATTGTGCTATTCTAATTGCGCACACAACATCAGATATATATAGTGCAAAAGAAGGAAGAGACACAATAATTGTCCAGCAAATTTAATTCATTAAGAAATAGCAATCAGGTGTAAATCTTTAGCTCTATGTTATACAGGGTTGGCGTTACAGAATGGGTAAACTGGGCATATGACCAGGGCCGCATTAAGACTGTCGTGTTACATAGTCAACAGTTAAATTAATCACGTCTTAACGACTAAATTCTAATTTAAATATTTTTTGTTTGCATAAAAAAAATATATTGAAAGTTGACTTGACTTTGAATCAGAAACTATTTTGGGCCTTGTGGGCCCTAGATAATGGTAAAACGGCCCTGCATAAGGCGATTTTCAAAATCGTCTGCCGATAGATGAAACATTGTTTCTTCTATTTCGCGATTTGCTTCCCTACAATTACAGAGAACTTTGCGCAAAATTTGATTCCGCTACTCCCCTAAATAAATTCTACCCTACTTGTCAATGAAGCATATTATTTTAGTATGTCATCTGTCGGTACAAAAACAAAATATTATTTCTAAAATTGTAACTTTATTATAACTAATGATTGCATCCTTTAAATGGTCAAAAGGAAAAGATGATACCTTTCAATGATCTAGTAAAATTTCATTTAATATGTAATTTTTCGTGCGTTCGTTCCGTCCAATTAAAAAAAATGTCAATTGTATATATTGTGGTGATAATGGACAGCAATTTGTAAACTTAATGAAGTAAAATGACCTTGAGTCATTATCTGGTTGGTTGTGGCTTCTTACTATGAGAGGATCACTTGATAATTTCTAGTTCCTCAGAATTTGGTGCGACGGGAAATCGATACCCCAGTTATTAGATATTTAATGATGGCACAGTTCCCTCGCGTTTTGTCCATCCAAAGCCACGTAGTTTCTGGATATGTGGGAAATAAGAGTGCGACGTTCCCTTTGCAAGTAAGATCACGAAAGAACGAGAATACATATTCAATTAGAGAAAAAGTTATTATTTTAACAATGGATGTGTTGTAACATCTACAACATTGACGTCTGTCATTTCGTACAATTTTTCTGTTTATTAGGTAGACAATAACTGAAATTTGCTTAACAACAACAAAAACTATAGCTATGCAACAATAGTTTCAGTTATCTTTACTATAAAATACATAATAACCTTTCTGTGAACTATATAATCTCTAAAACTATGAACTTATTTGTCTATACAATTATTTTTTTTTATTATATATTTGTCAATTGATATTCACGTACAATATTAATTACTTAACATTATCACAATTCACTTTTGTGCTATTTTCTGTCTTCTTCGTCTTATTGAAAAAATCAACAAACTTATATTTAGATCTAAAACATCGGCCAACCTATAAAAGCGGAGATATCTTTACTTTTGGTAGCAGTGAATTATATTAGAAGAAAATACAGTAAAACGTTTACTTATTTTTTAAGCTAAGCAATAAAATTATCTATAGTTTTAAAAGCAAATAACAGCGAAATTTGTAGTAACCGTGTTTTTCAATTATCCGTGTTTTAACGTTTCCGAATTGCTACGCATAATAGATTTGAAGAAAATACAATCTACGTTGTATACGCCTTTACATTCATTTTACATTCTACAGATGGTTAATTTGAATAAACTGAATATGTAGAAAAAAAAACATACAAGATATATTGATGGTATAGTGCACGTCCATCCACTTAACTTAATCAAGTTCATTATGTTTATATACTTTGCTACTATCCACAATGAAATATGTTCAAGTACTCATACTATCTGCATTATAAAACAATAAACAAAGTATCCTGATATTATACACACAGAAGAAATCCAAACAGAAGTCGTCAATTCATACACTTCTTGCATATTTTCTGGCAAAATAGACATCGCATGATGATGAGAGACAAAGAACATTTCATATAATATATACATTATTATTATATATTAAAATAAAATCACTGCTAACATATTATAATGAAGACACGTAAACTCATTTATGCAAATAGCACATGTTTTTAATTAGTACGTGATCCGTTTGTTTTGTATAAAATTAACATATTAACCTTGTGAAAAACTTAACGTCGGATTACGTTTTAATGCTAAATTAAAAACTAAGTCAATAGATTTTATAACAAAATAGTTTTTTTTTGTATATTGAAGATATAATTAAAATGTGAGAAACTATTAGTTGACTGAAAATATCAACTACTTGTTATTAGTATAGTTCATTTGATATTTTGCAGTCAACTAAATTAATTATCTGGAAATGAAGAAGAGGATACGTTTTTTTTTGTATAATAACTTTAGGAAATTATTATGAATGTTACGTGAAAATTTGTAAACATAAATAATAAATGTATGGTGATGGGTATATTTCAATACAAAATGAAAACATTTCATTAAAAAAAATAATCATTTTATTAGACATAAACATATTACTTACTTTAATAAAGAATTTATTACATGATACAAGTTTAAATTATGTTGCGGGAGTTTTGGTTCGGTTATTGGATCAAAAGAGCTAGGGTGATTTTTTTTTGTTTGTTTCGCGAATATTACTTTTAAGAATTGGTGTAATTTCACATCGGATTTGTTAGTGTTGAATACTTAAAAATCTGTCAGACTTTTCATTTATTTTCTTATAAATATTACTATAAATACTGTTGATTTGATAGTAAATTTAATAAAATATTAACAATTTGTATTATAAATTTGACTAAGTTTAGGTATCATATTTAGATGATCATTTCATTAAAACATACAACACTTTTGAAACTAAAAAAAATCATTACGTTCACAGCATACTTTGTATTCTAGTTAATCTACTTATTAATCTAGTATAGTACGGTAATACTAGATTATGTAAGGTTATTTGATCGAACTAAAGTGCAAACATGTTATTTAGAATAGTAGCCGGCTGCAAAGTAACTTCACGAATTCTGAATGAAATAAAATTATAATACGTATTCAGGCTATAAATATATAAAGTGGGGCATTTTTTTTTTGGTTCGCTTGAATCGCCAATTCTGATAGCTGAACAAGCACTGATATAAGTATATTTCCCGGGAATTCCCGAAATTTTGTAAAATTAGATTTCCAATTTTCCACTACTTTTTCTCTAACTCGCTGTACGTCTTTCATTCATACTAAGTCGAAAATCAAAATTGCTTCCATATTGATTGATATATTTTACTATTAAGCATTAGTATAATATTGCTTATGTGCATAATATTACCGAAAAAATGAATTAAATATTTGGCAAATGTAGAATATTTGTTTTTCAAATTCTAAATGGGCTTTATGATATGTAAAGTTCACAAATTTTACAATACAGCGGAACCTCGCTTAACGATTTTAATCTGTTCAAAAATTTTACTCGTATAGTGAAACATATTCAAAAATACACATAATATGTGTACACAAGTTTTGAAAATGATGAAGAAGGCGAGCAGTCCGGGACTTCTCTTCTCATCGTCACTTGTTAAGAGAAATGCTCGTTATGCGAGGTTCCACTGCATATTTTTTTATTTTACTATAAAGATATAAATCTCTTGGCCCTTTTTTCTACCCTAAAGGGGGTAGAAAAGGATACAGGCGACTATAGCCACGCGGTTACGGCCGCCCTACAATATAATTTAAGTTTTCTTAGGTCACGTTTCGCTTTGTATGTATTAGGGGTCGGCAACCCACGGTGCGGCTCCCTATCCTTTTTTTTTAACAGATACATAATCCCAAAAAATGGCTCTTCGCTCCAGAAAGGTTGTCGACCCATACTTTCTAATTTTGTAGTTTGTATTTAACACGAGTGTCCAACTTAAAAAAAAAAGAAGTTTGACCGTAAAGTGTACGTTAGTTTGAACGTACGTTTGTGTACCAATAAATAGTAAACGTAAATGCTAAGCTAACAATATTTTTTTTATATAGATTTTAGGTTTTGAAGTAGACACTATAAATTCCGTGCAATTCTGTAATCATACAGGCTATGCAGCTGTTAAGGGTCAAGTGCTGACAGACAAGGATTTGGGTGATTTGGTAGAAGGATTAGCAACTAACAATTTAGATACAAACTATTCTCACCTGCTCACTGGTTACATTGGTTCGCCGGCATTCCTGAAACGTGTTGCCTCGTTGGTGATCGATCTAAAAGCCAAAAACAAAGAACTGATTTACGGTAGATTTCCCAGATTCAACAAGATAAAAACAGTGTTTTCATCCGGTTTTTTTTTTTAATATTTGTAGTTTGCGATCCTGTAATGGGAGATAATGGCAAAATGTATGTACCTGCAGAATTACTGCCGATCTACAAAGAGGTCGTGATACCTTTAGCAGATATCCTAACACCTAATCAGTATGAAGTTGAGCTGCTGACAGAAAGAAAAATAAAAACTGTCGAGGACGCTTGGAAATCCATCGACATTTTACATGATATAGGATGCAAGACGGTGTTCTTATCGTCCAGCGAACTGGGAAGCGAGGGAAATCTGCTGGCGCTCGCCAGTACGATCAAAGGTAAAACTTACTTGGAGATATACTTCAACTTACTTGAGATCCATAAAACCCATAGAATTTTACCTGCAACAAATAGAAAATGCGAGATTATTTCAGGCGAACGGAAAAGAGTGATCATGTCTATCCCGAAACTGAATGCAACATTCACTGGAACCGGAGATCTGTTCGCGTCCTTGCTGTTGGCTTGGATGTACAGCACCGATGATATTCAGCTCGCTATGGATAAAACAATGGCAACAATACAACACGTATTACAAAAGACATTAAAATACGCTTCAGGTAAAACATAAAAATCTAACATAAAGTCAATATTTAGATTCCACTATATTTTTATACGAAATAATTCCAAATTGTGTATGTGAATTGTGTTTTCTCATTATTTTTTTTTACTATAATTTATTATTAATTTGCAATCATACGTTTTGCATATTTTCGTTTTCAGTTATTGGAATTTCGACTGGATCATTAGAATTGAAATTGATTCAGTGCAAGGAAGAGATTCAAGAACCTAAGGTTACAGTACACTCTAAGCTAACTTAACTTAAGCCGTCAAGTTAAGCAAAGATTTATATTGCGAAATTTAAATAAATCTTATTGCTTAAATGTCTTCCAAACTGACCAAACAAATAAAAAGAAAAATAGACGTAGATAAATATATATAATATGAATAGTGTTAATTCGCTTGTATATAAATAAAAACATCGACTTTATTTCCTATGGTTTTTAATGTCTTTTTTTTACATGTACACTCTAAACTAATAGTAATACAAAAATATTATGTTGTTATATTTTACCTGAAAAATAAATTAAATGGAAACAGAATGAAATTATTATTTAAGTGGAAATATTTAAATATAGAACATTTTAACAGTTATTTTTTTTTGTTTGTACGAAGAGGAAACATTAAAATGATAATCAATTACAAACTGCCTTCCCACATAATTAAATAATCGTCCTTCCTATATAAACATTAAAAAAAAATTAATGCGATTAATTGATTTAGTAAAATTATATTAGCACATAATCGATAATAATAAAAACTATATGTTCTTTTAAATTTCGTGATAATATTAAATTTAAAACGAAAACTACATATTCAATCCTATGATAATTATTTAAATATAAATTAGTTATATAAATACTTTTAGAAATGTCCTGTAAGTCTAAAAACACGTTTAATTCAATTGAAAAATAACAAATTAATTTTGTATTTTTTTTTTCTCTTCTTCTTAATAGCAAAAAACAAGACATACACGAAACATTAACAGGTTAAAACTTAGATCAATGTGATTAGTATGGTTTCGAAAATAATATTTATTTTAACAAGACGTCCTAAATTTTTCAAATAAATATTATGAAGTGTGAGGATTAACTGTCAATGGATTACCACCATCTATTATTTTGTTATCACTTCATGCTTATGTTACTAAATTAATATGTAGTGCTTAAATATAAATGAATGAGCATATTCATAATTTAAAACTTGTTTCATCCCTTGAATCCACAAAGAAATACACGAAAAAACGTAAATATTGAAAGCGTCCTTATAAACTAAGACGCAACTCGCACGCAATCATTCACACTTAAAAAAAAAAGTGGAAAAGGAAGAAAATACAATAAAAATATTATGATATATACCTATAAGTATTCTGTATAGAACTATTGTGTATTGGGACTGTCCGTTCCGCTTCCGCTGTTGTTCGAACTCTCCTTGGCTGCAGATAGTCTGTCCCGACGGTTACTCTTGCTCAAACCAGCGACTTCTTTCAAGAGGCCCTGAATACGACCATTGAACATCTCAACTTTACTGTCAAATTCCTTCTGGGCAGTTTTCATCTTGTTCCTCAACTCGTTCTCCGTGGTAAAGTGTTTAGCCTTCAATTCGGTGATCTGGAACATGGAGCAAAACGCGCACGCAACTTTAAATAACGCATAAACACCAAAAGACACGAGTACTTACCATCTTATCTTTACCTAGTAATTGCGCATCTTTCATACTTAGCTGTTTTTGCATACTCGCTATTTGCTCTTTCAGCTGTGTCATGGCGACCATGTGATCAGAACTATTAGGATCAAGTTCTGCCCTGATCAAACCAGGACCCGTATTATTCCTCGCTACTTTCGCTGGCGGTTGATCATTATCTAGTGGTGGGGCTTTCGTTGGATCAGGTCTTTGTGGCCTCTTATTGTGGGAACGGGATCTAAGCAAACAAAAAAAATATCATGAATAAGACGACTCCGTTTGAACATATACTATACGTACTTGCTATCCTTATTTGGTTTACTAGAATGCCTCATTTGCGATTTAATGTGTCTTCTATCCGCGTCACCTTGTTTTGTTTTCGCCAATGCTCGTTTATAAGATAATGTACAAAGCCAACACAACAATTTGCCATCAACCTAAAAATCATTGCTTAATACTCGCTTGATCCTCGCCAAATGTTTCGGATGATATCTTTACCTTCTTATCATCGTCGTGTCTATCAAACGCGCATTTCTGTTTGCATTGTTCACAGTTGACTGGAGGGCCATACTTGATTTCAGAGTTCGTGCATCTCTGGCACTTATTGCCGATGAAAGCGGCAATAATATTGCAATATTCGCATGCTGTAGGCTTACCGTAAGCCTTCACGTTTTGTTCACATTTTTTACATATCGTACTTGTACTGCCCTTCGACGTTTGTTGGAATTCCGAGCGACAATACGTGCATTTCACCACAGGATAAGCTCCACGGCATTCCTAATTAAAAATCATCAAATTCCATAGGAAATTAAAACAGAAATAAACAACGAGTGAAAATTCTAGATAATAATTATCAGTAATATAATTAAATGATCACATACACCCCCAACCACACTGATTATTACTCATCAATTAAACTTGCATTTTTTTTTGTACTCTTCATTTACTAAATGTAATCACTAGATTCATTGTATTAGATATTATTAATTATAATCGAATCTATATTAAATACAAATCAATATGATTAGATAAAATCGAAATCAATATGGGAAAATTTAATTTTAAAGAAATAAAATACTAAATAATTGAAAATGCAGTAAATGAAAGAAAGTCATCAATATGCTGAGTATAACAGTGAATATAAAAAAAATAATGGATGATACTTTTGTATTGACGCATTTCGAAATCGTTGCCTATAAGAGATACAATGTAAAAACGAATCAAAGTAAGTATTCAAATGCAATTAAAATTTCCGAATGAAACAAAATCATAAACAGAATGTTAAGCAAAACCTTCATAACCTAGTAAGTAATGGTGATATAAAAAAAAATCACTTACTTTGCACAACTGTTGGCCGGACGATAACTCCTCGAATGGATGTCGCGAGAAACACCTCGAACACGCAAATAATAAACTACTCATAATTACGTTTAGAAAGTTTCGAAATATTTAGATAAAATCAACCGCACTTGAGAATGTACCTGTTGTTTTAAACACTGAACAAATCTTACTGTTTTGACATCAGGAATCACTGATCGGACAACGGCACAAACTATCATCTAAAATGGCCGACAACCATTTGTACCAACAAAAGACGATGAAATATTACCAAAAATAAATATGGGAGTAATTTTCAAATTTAAATATAAATTTTAGATACAAATCATCGATCATTAATTGTCCAAATATTGTGGACCATAGCCAATGAACTTTTATAATAAATAATATTAATAGTTATACATGACAAGAATAACAAGTTTAATATTATGTGATACAACAATCTATACTAATTAGTATACAGTGAAACCTCGCATAACGAACATTTCGCTTAACAAACAAAATTAATTGTAAGAAAAGTTCTGCCCTAATCAAACCAGGACCCGTATTATTCCTCGCTACTTTCGCTGGCGGTTGATCATTATCTAGTGGTGGTAATTTTAAAATTTAAATATAATTTTGGATACAAATCATCGATCATTAATTGTCCAAATATTGTCGACCATAGCCAATGAACTTTTATAATAATTAATATTAATAGTTATCCATGAGAAGTATAACAAGTTTAATATTATGTGATACAACAATCTATACTAATTAGTATACAGTGAAACCTCGCTTAACAAACAAAATTAATTGTAAGAAAAGTGACTCGCTTAACGAGCGACGTTTCGCATAACGAGTGACGATGAGAAAAGATTGCGGATTGCGCGCCTTCTACATCATTTTTAAAACTTGTATCCACATATTATGTGTATTTTTTTTAATATATTTCACTATACGATTCAAAATCCGAAAATTTTAAAACTGATTGAATTCGTGTCTGTACTTATGAATGATTTTTATATATGTTGTAACATTTAGTTAATATACAATTCTGATTTAGTGTAAATTATTTAGTTAGCCAATATCATATTATTACAGAGATCATTGAATCAAATGTAGAGATTTGTTGTTGAACTGGAATTGAATAAAAAAGTATACTAGGTGTTGTAAATAGTAACATATTAACAAATACGTCACAGTGACAAAATAAAATAAAAATGGGAATAGACTATTACGGAATTCTGCAAATAAAAAGGAACAGCTCTGATTTGGATATAAAAAAAGCGTAATATTTTCAAAAAAAAAACACACTATTAACATCATCTTATGTTGAATCTTATTTCAGATATCGTAATTTGGCATTAGGCTTTCATCCCGATCGGTTGGAAGATCCGTGCACGTTACAAGTATTTAAGCTTATTTGTGAAGCTTACGATGTGCTGGGTAATGCAATGCATAGGGCGGTGTTTGACCAGTACGGGGAGGAGGGCTTGAAACGTGGTGTTCCATCGCCGGACGGGTACATTCAACCATATCATTATCACGGCGACGGAATGAGAACATATAAGTTAATACAATCAAACAGTGATGAAAATATATCAAACACGCACTGCTCAATTCATTTTTAGGGATTTCTTCGGAACATCTTCGCCTTTCGCAGATCTCCTTGAATACTATATAAATCCGAAACCCATGTACGATTTACCTGAGGGAAGAGGATTTAAAAAGAAGCAACCGGCCATTCGTCACACGCTCTGCTTAACTTTGCACGAGATATTCTTTGGGGGTGTTAAAAAGATGAAAATACAAAGGTTGGAATACATCGGACCAGAGCAAGGGAAGACCGAAGTCAAGGAGAAAATATTAAGTATTCCAATTAAACCGGGCGTTCCTCCGGGGACGGAAATTATTATGCCCGAAGAAGGGGATCAAAATCCGACACAAACTCCAGGTTTTATTCGATTATTGATTATTATTGTACGTCGATTATTAATATATTTACTTTACAGCTGATATCATATTTGTGGTAGAAGACAGACCTCATGAACATTTCATTAGAGAAGGCAATAATTTGATAACTCAAGCCGAAATATCGTTGGAGGAGTCATTGTTAGGAACTACCATAACAATAAATTCCATTGACCATAGAACTATACGAATACCGATAACGGACATCGTGTGGTAACGATGAAATTCTTATATAATAACATCGCCAAACAATAACTTACCGTTTCAGTCCGAACTATGAGAAGCTAGTTCCTGGCGAGGGTATGCCAATCGTCGATCAATATAGCGAAAAGGGAGATTTGATTATTAGATTCAACGTGATCTATCCGAAATATTTACCGAAAGCTAGCAAGGAGATGATGGAGAAGGCATTTTACATGGCAAAAATTGGCGGTGGTCACAATCAGCCAGAGATGATTAACAAGATGATATTGGCAGATAAAATTTTAAGAGTCGATCCTGACGAACAGCTACCTCCATTCTGAAGTTATCTTTTAATATATTATTTGTTTAATATTCATTTTTCAACGATTTGTAATACAATTTAGGCAACCATATCCAAGCCCTGTGCTGTAAACTAGCATGTAATGGATTATGTTGAACGTTTTGCAGTCTATTCAGATAATTCTCAACTGCAGTTGCTGGCAATAATGTAGATCTACCTTCAATTGGTACATCTTTAAGTAGATTTCTTGCCTTCACTAAATGTTGATGCGCTCTGCTTGCCACTTCAAATGTGCATTCATTTAAAGCCTCACTTGCTTTACTCCTTAGAATATCCTCATGGCTCACATTGTGTTTAGTTAATACATCCTGTGGAATTGCTATGAAATTGATTTTCCTTGCAATAGGAATGCTCCTGGAAATATTGAAATCATCAGCACAATCAATTCATCTGCACATCTTATTCATACCTCAATTGCTGCACTATTCCTTGCGCTTTACCAATATGCGAAGCTGCATGATCAGCATGGACGTTTCTTACACCATTTCCCTCTAGTATTAAGTAATAAATATTTGATACTGTTTGTTCTGAATACTTCTCCATTTCATCAATTGTTTTAAAGATCCTATTATTTACGTTATCAACTCTACTCTTCACTAAGTTATTGAAATATCTTTTTGTTAGCTTCCTATTGTGAACTGCCTACAATGAAATCACAACATAATAACAACATAATATACAAGAATCTTTATATATACTTTAAATAATTCAATAGCAATTGGATGTTGTGGTACATTCTTTATGTCTTTTTGATAACATTTATCTATAGTATCCTCCCAGAACTTCAGCCTCATTAAACCAATACTTGGTTGACTAGTTTGCTCTGCTACTCGACTAACTTCAATATTGAAGCCCCTCACTGCCATAGCAATTGCACGACTAGTATTTTTAAGTAATAAAGTGCACACAAAATTTTCATAGTCATTATTTCTGTAAATCAAATAAAAAATATATATGAATTATTACAAAGGTAAGTATATTGAATTAAATTTTACCTTACAGATTCAACGCAATAATCAAAACTACTTTTGCTCCTACATTTAATAAATTGTGGCCTTAACGACTGCCTAAGAAAATTATGATTTAAGATATTCATTATTATATTAGTAAATATTTTTATAATAATTCAATTCGATTGATCGTTTTGATAGGTTAGGTTTTGGAGGTCATTCTATAAAAAGTTCAGGAGTTCGAAACCTTACTTTTATAATTAAATATAATTATTATAGAGTAGGATAGGTGATAATAAAATATATGTTCTTTTCAAAATAAAATTCTATAAAAAACATTAGATTATTTAAAATATTTTTTTGCTGCATTGGTACTATAAAATTTAGTTGTGCAGTTGGTATCTTGTTCAAGTGTCAGAAGCAGAAGTATACATAACCGTCAGTTGCGTTTATATTTGTCAAAAGTTAAAAGGCAGAAGCACGAAGATATAGAAACATTGTAATATATAGTTATAATGGCGAGTTCGTCCAAGTAAATGAATTTGTTACAAGTAGTTACATTTGATTATAATTATTTTATTTACAGATATAATGCAAACACTGTTTGTTGTAATTCACATCCAGATGCCCCACTTATAGAAGATTACAGAGCTGGTGACCAAATTTGTTCAGAATGTGGATTAGTTGTTGGTGATAGGTAAGAACGATTTTGATGTGCTCAGTGTTCAAATAATATATGTATATTTAATATTGCAGAGTTATTGATGTTGGCTCTGAGTGGCGTACATTCAGCAATGAGAAATCTGGAGTTGACCCATCTCGTGTTGGTGGTCCGGAAAATCCTTTGCTGGGTGGATCAGACTTGACTACAATGATAGGACCAGGAAGAGGTGATGCCTCTTTTGATACTTTCGGGGTGTCCAGATACCAAAATAGAAGAACCATGAGCAGTTCTGACAGAGCGCTGGTTAATGCATTTAAGGAAATTGGATCGATGGCAGACAGAATCAATTTGCCCAGAACTATAGTTGACAGAGCAAATAATTTATTTAAACAAGTTCATGATGGTAGAAACTTGAAAGGTAGATCTAATGATGCAATTGCATCTGCGTGTTTGTACATTGCTTGTAGACAGGAAGGTGTGCCCAGAACGTTTAAGGAAATATGTGCAGTCAGTAAGATCAGCAAGAAAGAAATTGGGCGTTGTTTCAAGCTAATCTTGAAAGCTTTGGAGACGTCCGTCGATCTTATCACTACAGGTGACTTTATGTCTCGATTCTGTTCGAATCTTGGTTTACCAAATATGGTCCAAAGAGCAGCAACACATATTGCCAGGAAGGCAGTGGAACTGGACATAGTACCTGGCAGATCACCAATATCTGTTGCAGCAGCTGCCATTTATATGGCCTCTCAAGCATCAGAAGATAAACGAACCCAAAAGGAAATTGGAGATATTGCCGGTGCTGCGGACGTTACAATTCGACAGTCATACAAGCTTATGTATCCTCATGCCTCCAAGTTATTCCAAGCAGATTTCAAATTCGCTATACCTATAGAACAGTTGCCGCAAATGTAAGACTTCACTTCTCAAATACAATAATATTATTAATGTAACATTTCCATGTATAATAGTGGTTAATTTTTAATATTTTATAATAAATGTGATTGTACAACAGCAACTCTTTTTGCATTATATAATTTCCAATTTTATTTTTTTTTGCAATTATATATATAATAAATATATAAAACATTTTTTGACAAATTAAGGTACAATTATAATTATATTTGATATCTACAATATATTCTGTATGTTATATTAGTTACAAAGTAAAAATATCTCGTTTAAAATGATGAACTTGGACCTTGCTCTGGCGTTTTCCTACCCGATACTAACTTGTTAACTTCATCGACAGTTTCCATATCAATTTCATTATCAGTTTCTTCCATATCATGCTGGTTATTGGGTGGTGGATTTTCATCTATAAATATTCCAATATAACATTTATATCATAACAAGAATATAATATCGTTACCTTCAGACTCTGAACTACTGCTACTAGTGTCAGAAACCTCGTATGTATCACAAATAATAGATGGTTCTTCTTCCTGCGCTTTCTCCTCGCCATCTTGTTTTTCTTTAAGAAATTGATTCTTAATATCTTCTCCAATATATTTATTCGCAATTTCTCTGCACAGCAGAGCAAATCCACTGGGAAGCCACCCATTGTTTTTGTCACATACAGCATTTGATGGCGTCGGAGGTAAACGAGCAAACATTGCTTCAACTTCGGGAAGTTTTATATCACAATACTAGAAACAATAATAGTCAGATGGTAAATTGGTATTATTAATATGTGTAATCTTACTTGATAAAATAATTGTCTAGCAGCAGGCATACTGTTTGGTCTTAAAATAAAGGAATTTTCGGTGACTTCTTTCTTATTTTTCAATTTAATTTCATTTTGCAATGAAAACTTGCTCTGTTTTACTAAATCCGCCACTAAGGGACGTTTCCTTCTGATTTTCATCTTGAACCCAGCTAAAAATACGTGAATATTATAATATCGATTGTAATTATTGATTTAAGAACATACCTGATGATCTAATTCGTATATCCAAAGTTTGATAAATTTTTGCGTTCGGATCCTTCTTGGGATTGTACCCAAATCTGATCCACATAACTCTCCAAGGTCCGTTCAAATAATAATACGCAACTTTAGGTAAAATATGTTTTAACTGTTCCACAGTAAAACCTGTATCATATAGTAATGCTTGCCTTGACCAGATTGGTCTTTCTTCAAATAGCTCTTTCAATTTATCCAAACCATTTGTAAACCTAAAAAGTCTTTCAACGTTTTCTGCACTTGGTTGCTGAGGAATGTCTTCTTCAAAAGTCAACATATGTGTGCAATTCGTTACATTTTCCTTTCTCTTGTGTGTATGTTGTTGTTTTATCTTCTGGTAGGTATCCTCAGTGAATTTTCCTTTGTAAAAATTGCTTCTTTCAAAATGCAAACTATTATTGCTGGAATTCAATTTGGAGAATGTTGTAGGTGGAAAGAATAATGGAACATCTGCGTTATCACTAGAATTACAGTGGCATTAAAAGAATCTGATATTAGTAAAACATTTCCTTATATATACTTTATCCAATTTGCAGATGGTAAGGTACTGGGTACTATTTTTTTATAAATATATTCTAGTTCATCTTCTTTTTCTGTTGGTTCCTTTGGTAAGAGTGGTAAATATTGAAAATCACAAAGTCCTAAAAAACAACAAAAACAATGAGACTTTAAAATAGATTGATCTTTATGTGTGTTAATTAATGTACTTACTGTTAAATTTAAATGAAAGTGCACTCATACCAACAACATTATAATCAATAACTTCATTTGTGGCCTTCTCATTTTCTTCACTTTTCTTATATCTGACTTTTACCAGTAATAGCGGTTTGGTATCCTTTTCTGACACACTTGGTTTTGAATACAAGCTCGTTGGCCGGAAATTGAGTTCTAAATTTGTTTTTACATTTCCTGTTGCCTAAATATTAATGAATTATTACAAAAATTCTACTCTACGTTTTTTAGTTTAATATTTACGATTTGTAGTTGCTCCAAACCTCCAAGTGTTTCTATAGCCTTATCCACATTTTTCACAATACCCGGGTATTGAACACAAACCAGTTTCGTTACATCATTTAATGTATTTGTTTCACTCGTGGGACGAATTTCATTATTACTCGGTGTTTCCTCTTCCAAATCCATTGTTTTAATTATATTTAAACTTTAAAAAAATAACGTTGTTTGAGGTTATGTATTTTCATAACCTCAAAACAGAGTTTCAAATATAAACAGAAGCAGCTGTTATTTTTAATAAGTTGGTAAGACAAGTTAACCGAGAGGTTTGAGTGGGTTTGGGTTGTGAGCAGGGGTGGATCTAGTCATGGTCAAAAAATAAACACCACTAATCCAAACAGTTTTAATCCGTCCCTGGTTGTGAATGGAAACAAAAAGTTCACAAATGAGATGGTAAGAAATAAAACTACGAGAGTTCAATCAATTATGTATTGTTAAATTAATAAGTGCAAACAGAATTAAAGTTTGAGCTTAAATATGCATATTGCTTATTGTTCCTTATATAAATACACTTGTAAGGAATGTTTTTCGACGCGCATAAATCACTGTATAAAAGTCTCGATTGATTTCAGAGAGATGAAGAAAGAGAGTTGTTTAAAATTACACCTAATTACTATGATTGACTGCTAAGCTTGCGCTGCTAGCCTTTGACAAATATTTTCTACACGAACTTTTAAATTAACTAAAACATCAGCCGCTAAAACATCCACCGTGGTAAATTTACACTTTTGAAAATTAAAAATATCTGCTAAAAATCCCATTACTTGTTCCTTGAAAAATGTGCAGGTCTCTTTAAGAGACTCGTCCGGCCCTAAAAATCCCCATGCCATCAATGGCGAAAGTTGTTCGGATATCGTGTAGAAATGAGCCATAAATCCGTACGGAAATTTAAGCATTTTCCTTTTCGCCTTTAAAACGGACCATACCGCTGTAGTTAAAGCAGTTTCTTTGAAACCATTCGACAGCCATCTATTCTGTACAACGGCTGTTACCGACGATGGGGGTGATTCTAGATCTTCAAAAGCATCCATCAAAATGTAGTCCATGACAACGTCATAGAACGTTAACGCCTTGACCCCTTTCAAGCTTAGTTCCTCCTCAATTTCACGCCAATTCGAATTATCTTGAAGATATCGCATCATATCTTCATAACCAATTAAAAAGTCCTTGGGATCTTTATCGGCATACAACAGCAGATCGGCAAGAATCTGACGACCAGCATCGGCGAACCATATGTAATTTACATGATCTTGGAGCATGTGCTGAAATGCTAAACGCAAGCAATGCAATTTCGCCAGGTACTCTCCATCAGAACCACACTTAACTAATTCCGTGCGTAATGTTCTGCAAGGTATTCCTCCGTTTTCTAATTGCTTCAAGGCTTGCTGGTATAAGGGTAACAGTTCGACATCGGGGAAAAGATCGGAAAATTCTTCAAATTCTCTCAAATCTGCAACCTGCAATTTGTTTGCAATATTATAATACATATCGAATTCACATTAAGTTTTGGATTCTTACTTGATCTTGAGCTGAGGCAAAACTTTCAGCACCCGAGAGATCTGTATCTAAACCGTTATCTGATCCATGTTTATCTCTGCTACCAGGTCGGAAAAGAACGGATCTCTCATCTAAAAATAACATTTCCGAGTGTTCTTGCAATTCTATAGCAAGATCCAGGAGCTGCTGAAGGTCCTTGCAAAAGCTCGCTTCCTCTGGGCCGAGAACTGCCAATGGTCCTCCTCCGCCTGCTGATCTGTATGCGGCAAGTGCGTCCTCCCAAAAATTGATGCTGGTTTCTAAAGCTTCCATGCCTAAACAATAACAATATTTCAATTTAAAATGCAGTCAATTTCATCAAATGACTAAAGTAATTTTGCAATTGGCTAACTGATAAAATACTCGTTGGGTTCAAAACATTTTGACCTTGCCATGAGGATAAAATTCTAACAACACATATGTTAAGAGATTAGAGTAGTTTGTCGGTAATTAAACATATATAATATCAAATTCATATGGTATATAAATGTGCGGTTCTGCATTAATCCGGCGAAGAATCCGTAATGCGTAATTGATGAGCACGCACGTCCGTGTAATCGGAAACAATAGATTAAAGGTTCCTAATTAGAAGAGTGAAACGTGCCGCGATGTTCTTTTTAGGTCCATAACAATGTCGTTCCGATTTTGCATACAATCACTGCAACGTCGTTCTCTCTGACTGTGTACGTTGCGACGAATTGCCAATTGGCGACTTCCTAATATAACCACTACGAAAATTCGTAACGCATTATGATATTAGAACGCATAACGAAGGTATAGCGAACTGTAAATTACATGTTATTGTTAAATGCACAGTTCTGTTACTAAAATCTTATTTTTTTAATATTTATTCAATACATATATAATTTCGTTTATTGCTATAAACAATAATAATTGATTTGTAAATAGAGCCAATAAAATTGTTGCCGATACCTCGTTTAGCTCGTAAGTTTTAATGACTTTCTTCTAGTGATCTAGTGTTCGAAACTCAATCTTTTCGTGGACTACTAAGGATTATTTAAACATTTTAATCCGTTTTGATTCGTCATTGCATCCAAAATTTTCTTCAAATGCTTATGGTAAGGTTACCAAACTGGAAAGCAGATACAAATTGAAATAAAACGCACATTTTTTTGTGGTTTTAATAATTGATATCATCACATAGTTGGTGATTCTTCGGTACTTGCTGTAATTTTTATTGTTTTCTTATTGATTATAATTTAAACTGAAGATTAGAATAAATTTATATGTAACGATAATACAGGAGATAAATTAGAAATTATCTTAATTGATGAAATGTTGTTAGCGATTATGTGAATCATGTTACGGTAGAATGCTTTCCGAACGAGAAAATAAATATTGGTTTTCTAGGCTTTCAATTAAATAAAGTAAACTCATTGAACGTTCTTCTGCAAAAGGTTTCTTGTGACTTTAACAACAGCGTCTTTGTTTCGTAATGTAATTGTGTTTCGTTCTGCATTATGGGGGGTCATTGTTGTCACTCTTTAGGCGAGATAAAGAGAAAAAAGAAAGTAAAACGTTTTTCTAACTCCGTATATTCTCTCGCCAAGAAGCTGAGTCACCCCAAAGCAGATCATTCATATACCATCATATTTAATGTTATTGTCGTCGTCGCGTTGGTGACGACACGACAGTGCAACCAGCTTCTCTCCTTGACTCCCATTGTTTGACCCTTCGCATTCACAATCCACGTATGTGCTGGCGCGCAGACAATAAAAAAGAAACTTAGACAATGTTCATAATGAAGCAACGAAAAAAAGAAAAGAGTGTACTCCACTTCTTGCGACGAGTGAGTAGTGCACGTATGGAAAGATGAACTCAATGAAATAGGAAGGGTCAAAAGAGTTGACTGCTAATTTAAAGCGACTACGTTCCCAATTATGAATGCATTTCACAAACGAACAATACTTTCTCCGTGCAATTAGCGAATTGTTTTGTTAATAATGCCCTGACTTCCCTGACAGGTGTCAAGCAAGCTGTTCGACAAGTGTTAACACTTAACATATATTATTTTTAGTTTGCTCTTCACATTAAGATTACTTTTAATTTAATAATTACATCAAGTGAATGATTAGCCGAAACAAATGGCGCGTTTGTTATGGCCGTCACGAAGGCCAACATCTAATTCAAGTGTGGTCCAGAATTTGTTATCTGTCACGTTCAACATCACAAAATTACATAAGTAAGGTTAAAGCTGTTTTCACAAAACGCAAGATATTCCAAATTATTAAATAATTTTGCAACGTATAGATATATTTTCGTCATACTTCTTATTAATTCATCTAAATTCTTCTTATCTAATTCATTATCATATTAAGCTTCTTCAGGTTAGGTTAGGTTAGGTTAGGTTAGGTTAGGTTAGGTTAGGTTAGGTTA